GATGGGCATTCCAGGTTTGACGGTACTAGTATTAGGTGCAGCGGTAGTTTCTGGTGGAGTTGTTGTTTCAGGTTGGGGTGTAGTCTCAGGTTGGGGTGTAGTCTCAGGTTGGGGTGTTGTTTCAGGTTGGGGTGTTGTTTCAGGTTGGGGTGTTGTTTCAGGTTGTGCTGTAGTTTCAGGTTGTGCTGTAGTTTCAGGTTGTGCTGTAGTTTCAGGTTGTGCTGTAGTTTCAGGTGGAAGGATAGGTTCGTTGCCTCCACAAGCCTTTTTGATGGCAGCGTCAAGCATTAGAGGAGTRAAATCTTTAGTACATTCCTCATAACCTAGTTGCTTCATTGTTTGTGCAACATTTGGCATGCCATAGATTTTCCCTTTCACCTTGTGCTTCAAGTACGCGCATCCATTCATCCTGCTACACATGTTGAAMAGCTTGTCTCGAATGATATTTCTACATTTCATGATTTCTCCCGTTCCCACAATCCACTTCACTCCGCGTATTCCTTTAAACTCTTTTTTCATTCCTTTAGGCCCACATGGACTTCTGATAACGGGTTGCACTGGTTTCGATATGGTTTCGAAGTACTTGTAAAGAGCAAACAGAGTACCCCTTCTAAAGTACGTTGATGTAACCAGAGGRTGGGGCTGTCCTGCAATGGTGGAGAGGTACGAYACCGTTCTGTCGATTGGGAGAATCTCGTATGCTACCTCACTCACCATTTTGCCGTTAAAGCTCAGCGTTGCAACTGTCTTCTTGTTGTCGCCCAAGAAATTTCCTTTGATAAAATTCATCGTATGCCAGCGATACGAAGCATCGTCAGCGTCGCTACTTTCTTCAACAGAATATGGTCCAGCTAGAAACGGTACGGTCTTATTCACAAAAAACTCCACAATATCACCACGAACGCGATACCAGGCATCGTCATTAATTGACTGGGTTTCTTCATCAAGCGAGAATATTATTGGGGTGCTGAGCTGGTACTTGGGAGGAACGGCTTTCTTTGCAGCGTTTATCAGTGGCATCATTGCTTCAGGAAGGGATTTAGTTCCTTTCAAGATAGCGTCCAAATCCAGAGGTTGGAATTCAGGGGTTGTTTTCATCTTGGTAACATCAGCCGGTGTAATCATCTTGTCCTTTTTACGCTTGAATTTATAAACGGAGAGCTTCAACCTCGAGGAGTTGCCTCTTGTTGTGATGACAACGCCATAGTCGGTACATGGTGCTAGACATGGCGTTAATTCACCTGTTAAAACAATTCAAATAAACTAATGAGTCAATCAAGGTCAGTATACTTTTTGCCTTCTCATGTTTCTCATTATACTCTATGCCGAATAGAGATATTGAAACTGACAGATGGAAATGGATTGTGAAGGCATATCTATTTAAAATCGACTCATTTTCTGTATGAAAAATCTAAGTAGTAATAACCATTTCTCCTGTTACTTTTTAATTCCCGTACGTACAGCTTCTTAGTCTGTTAGTCGATAGTTAAAATCACATTACCTATATTCGATAAGTATGCACCATCACTGTACCAAAGAAAGCCAAGAAATACMAAGACTTTAATCAAGGACACAATCATGGCAGACTACTAAGACACTAGCTACTGCAGCAAGCCTAGAGAAAAAAGACAAACATTTGTTAGAAAAACAATTAATACCTACTCACTATTTCCCATATAAAGGTAGACGAGCCTTTGCACCAAATTGAGACAATGGTTGCCATGTATGTCTCTAACTATGATGGGTGTGTTTATCGCTCGTCAAGCTGAACCATCAACCTCGTTTCCATGGTAACGTTCAGTCATTTCTTTAAGATGGCTCCGTTAACGGTGTTACAGAGGTATTCCCTATTGAGGTCATTTCTACAATGATCTGGTCGATATGTTCCATGTGATGGACGAGGGTCAGAAGTGAGCAGTGTTGGTATTTGATCGTSTTTTCCTAGTGTTTCGTGAAGACGTTTTATTTACTAATTTCCCAGACAGGTCTTTTAGCACCCTYGACGACTAATAACTCTAACTCCCTAAGGGAACTTCGTCCAATYGTAATTGACATTTCAATACCATAATGCAGTCCCCCAAGAAACTTATGACGTCATTGGAGAATACCATTGGAGCTGCCCCTAGGGCTACTATATTATGGTAGTCTGGGTTTGTCAGGTTTTCAAATGATCAAGTGCTTCTTGCCTACGTTCACTACTACCATGCTATACTCTATTAGTATAAACATACTAATGGTCTATCACTCATACTGCGCTGTGATTGGCTACTCTACTAATGGTCTAATTTGTGATAGACCACTCGCTGGAAAATCAAAATAAATAAATTATAAATTATTTTAAGGATATTTCAATTTGTTTTCATTATTTGACCGCGGACTCGGCCTTCTGGGCTATTAGCTCGTAGTCCTATCGACCTCGAGGTCTAATTGTTAATTAGCCTCCAATATTGAGCCTCAACGCCCGACATACACTTGTGGATTTCCTTTGAGATTTTTGACATAAAACGAAATCATGAAGATTGGGAATCAGTAGATTGCTGTCACTAGTTATAGATCAGCGACACTAGTGATCATTTGTTCTTTGAAGGGAACCGACGCTAAGACCATCCCACTGACCTATACTCGAGATATTCTCTCGCACTTTATAGACGTGAATTACTCTCCCAAAATAATGTTGTCATAATTGTTTACATTGAAACTCMTATCATTACAATTACAAGTCAGTCTTTAATCATTGTTATCAAAACTTGAAATTTCTATTTTCTGTTAGCTGTAAATTTCATTTTATTAAGAACCTAACAAACTTTTAGAAAATAAAAAATAAATGGTTGCACTTTAACCGCTCTGACATTGACGCCATGATTGATTTCTTCCGCAGAAAAAAAWTAAATGATTCTTCAGATCAAACTTTTTTTTGTGTGTGAAACAAATTAGATGACCATATACTAAATAAACAAATCAATCCAAAAAATAGTTTTCATTTCATRTCCCTACTTGCACAGTGCATATCTCGTTTATTAATTTCCTATATGGTTAGTGCGTTTGTCAAAAGATTCATGGATTAGGAACGAAATGAATTCCAATGTGTTATATCATAAAATATCATAAACAATACYAGCACCTGTTTAAGAAATTCCTCAATATTCTAGTCAAAATAATGAGCTTTAGTAACTAGTAATAAAAAACTTATAAGGTTTCCAGATTTTCATAAGCAAATTGYTCCGTTCTTACCTCTGCCTTCGTCGCTAGATATTAGTTGAAGTCTTTTTCCTTCTAACGGGTAATCATATATCGGTTGACCAACGAATTCACAGAGTTGCTTTGGCGGGTGGTTGAATACAACTCGAAGCCTTCTTCACGGATGACCACCGATTTCTTGAAAGACAAAAGCTCTGACATCCCWYACCAAGTGGTCACTTAAAAATTGTTGCTCCACCTACAGTAAAAGGTACGTATTGAATATCAATTAAAAATTTCTTTAAGGAACTTTGACAACATCTTGTAATGCAATTGACTGAAAAATGTCAATATGGCAAAAACGTTCACATAAACAGTTGCAAGTGAGTAGATTGTTTTCGATTGTTTTAACAATATCTATATCTAAATGYAACAAATAGTTCGCTGTATTTAACACATAGAAACAACCATTAAATAAGGCTTAAATTTAAAATCTTTTGTTGTTTCAATGTCAAAGCGAAGCGAAAGTTGCATGTCGTTAGAGAAAAATGGACACCGAAAAACAAAATGGCGGATTTACCATTATTTATGTTTCTGACTTTTTGATAAGATTGTTTTTTAGTGAAAGCTGTTTTAAAACTATTGAGGAAGACGTTTGTCTTTTTTGTGACACTTAGTGYAAAACAGCTTAGTCTAGATTATGATTTAACATAAACATTCAAACAAGTCAATTGGAAATATATATCAATTGTTATATAATTTTATGCATTTTGATACGTACTAATATCATAATCGACGTGATTTAAATTCAGTTTTCGTTTTATTGAAAAAGCATGTCATATTTGATTTCGGAACAACCAAATCGAAAAGTCAACAATCCTTGGCAAATCTTTTTACTTCGATTTCAAATGGGGGGTGGGATTGAAATCGCTCGATTGGGTGAGTGCTTGAGRGAGCGGTAAATCTTTCAGAGAAAATGACCTCATGCTTCTTCCATGAAGCAAAGACGAAAAAGTCTTCTTCTTGTTGTTGTTGCTTTTTTTATTGTGACTGGATGACAAATATGGATGCTAGAATTAATTTCCGTGAAAATAAAGACTAGAAATAATGWCAGGTTCTCAAAGCGCCGGAATAGAGTGTTATATACACGGCGGATATAAACTATGTAAAGTCTCTCCCCTTCAAAAATCGATTATGTAAAAAGAGCCGAGAAAATAAGTGAACGTTTATTGATTTTTCGTTTGTAAATGCAAAAGACTAACTGAGCAATCTATATAATTCTATTCAAAAGCCTGATTAGTTTCATCATTTTGCTAATTCAAAGCAAATGAGATTAGTAATAACGAGAAGCAATGTGAGATTTTAACGTCATTTGACCCAAGCACTGAATATTCAAAACGTAGTAAACTTGTGTTATAGGCCATTCTGAAGTTTTATAATTAATAATACCTCAAGGTTTTCATATTACTGATACTACTAATAACGTAAATATRATTTTGTTCTAGATATGACTGACARGCGTCAATATTCCATTGTATTCAAAATCACCCTGTTTCTTTGCTCAAGTTTTGTAGTGGATGTACAACCAGCCTCCGTAACGAAAATAGGTGCGCCTTCGTTGTCTCTGGCCAGCAGCTGTATTCATTRGTCTTTGATTCTTYATACTGCGAGCCAGACATAACAATTCACATAATATTTAACATCATCAATGATTAAAGTAAACATATCCAATGGTTTTCCTTCAACGATGACGTCACACGATACTCTAGATGCACTGTGGGATTGAARAAAGTACAAATCAGAATGCTTTGCGTGCACCAAACTTACTTATATCCGTGTGTAGTCACCGTTTAAAATGTTCTGAYAAAGCGTTGTCGCCAAAAGTTAGTGTTTTTTAAAGGCCAAGTATCACCCTGGATGCTTTGCGGTGCGTCTTGTCATTTCGCATTTCTTTTCAAAACAACAACAAGAACAACAACAACAAACAGTTCCAAAGTATCCAGGGTGATTTAGGATTTGCGCAAAGAAACTTTGTCCRTCGTAATTTTATGACATGAYCAAATTGGATGATACGCTTCGCCAAAACATGCATGGTGTCATTTAGTGTAAAAGATGATCGTTTTCATTAATACTTATTAATACTTATTAATACAACAGGTCAACTAAATGCTTGTGATGGCCCATGTACGGATTAYGCAATAGTCGTTACACCAAGGTTCGAGAAGATCGTCATGAAAATATACAAAATAAAACGACACAAAGGMAACCCMATCACCRCACCTTCAGACATCCAACAAATCAAAGTTAATCCTGGAAACATGCCAGTGAATATAATAAAACTTGCACGCTCGCCCAAGGACTTTGATTCCATCCTATTCAGCTTGGTTAAAGCAGCCAAGAAAGCAATTCCCCGAAARTACCATCGTGGAACACCGTTTTTCTTTTTAAGTTCTTTTATCATGGAAGATATCTACTCTTTTGCTTTTACTAAAGTTATTATGAGAGTCATGGAGTTCGTGAAAGATGTTAAAAGGTACCCCTTTTTGCCGCCAAGTAAAGATTCAATCAAGAAAATCCTCGGTACCGTGGAAATGATGTATAGGTGGATAGCAGCCAATTTTCTGGCTGAACATCTTTTACCCTCTAAGCACAACATCGCGTGTGACATGGCACTTGTTCACGTGAACCTCAACTTGATTTCTCAAATTGCCTTCCCAGTTTACCACATGGACAAGAACGTCACCCAGACTGTGTCAGTTGGTGGGGACACCTACCTACTTGCAGCAGGCTCCTTCACTAAAAATGGTTTAAGTCGAGGATTTAGAATGTATATTCAGAGCATCACAAAGGGTAAACCGCACCTAAAAAAACACCCAAGTGCGACGAGTAATCCCAATTTAGACTTTGCCACGACCATGGAAGTCTTATCAGGCTCAGATATTCCTTCGGATGTTAATAAGGACACTAAATATAGTAGGAATAACATTTCAACTCGACAAAACATTCACGGTTTACCTAACGCGGCTGGCAACGCTAAAATAACTACGGCAACAAATTATCCAAATACTGCAAGCCAAATCAYAAGTCCTTGCTCCCCACCTGGCACACAGCTTCAAGTCAACGACGCTGGCAAAGAATACACCATAATAGGAACAGGAGATGTGGACAAGTGTCGTAAAGTTATTCAAAAAGTCATTTTAGAAGATTACGAACGATCGAGTAGAAGCCCCTACATTATAAGCCCACGAAGAAGCGTCAAATTCTACGCTTTAAAAGACATCGTTCCGGTTTTGGAGACGTTTGGATGTCAMGATTGTAGACACATCTTCACTGTCGCTAAAATAGACGCAGCTGCGCGAAAATATTGCTCTGGCAAAATTTCCTCTCATAATATCCCTGGTAGGACTACTGGTTGCCTGAATGTCAACTTCTTTTACACAATGCTGACAAGAGCCTATCATATTAAACGGGACACACCTATCAAAGTCTTAAAGGCATCTATACATCACATCGACGAGGACTGGGCTCTTGGTGCACTGCTGTACAAGATGAAGTTATTGAGTTGATATATTGGTAATATAACGCAATTGAAGCAAAATTTGCATATGGAAGAKGAGGACTGGGCTCTAAGAGCATGTGCAGCTACAGCAAAGTGCTTTGCTATATAAGATGAAGCAAGATTGGCCTCTGAGAGAGGAGGACTGGGCCTTAGGAGCATATTTAGTAAATAGTCAATATGCAGCGAYGCCATTTTGTACAACAGAGCATGATGGGAGCTGTAATCCTCGCACTTTTTATGGGCCTCGAAAATTCTCACTGAAAACCATTTTTGACATTTCCGTTCTTTTATGGACATGCGCACGGGAATCAGCTTTACTACTATCATAGTTTRTTCTACAATATTGCGTTGTTACACATTGCCGATATAGCTATTTAAAAAAAGGTTATCGGATAAAATGGCTGATGTAAATGGTTAAAGGACGATTGCACGACTGAAAGAAGCCATGCAAACGAAAGGAAACGGTCACTGGTTTATACTATAAAAGTACGGTAATACGAGCAGCAAAATCGTCCAACTTTTCTAGCAACATCGCTGCAAAACAAGTGGCAAAGCGATGTTGCGCGTTTCAMTACTGGCAAACCAAATTGTCGAACCTTATACCTTAAGATAGCCTGCGGTAAACATTGAGTCCATATGGTCTCAACTTCTATGCAATATGAATCCAATAAGTGAAATTTTGTTTATTAAAACAGTTTAACCATAGTCCCTTTCCGTCGTGCAATCTCCCTTCGACAATCGCCGTTCTCCCCGACAACGTTTTTTAAAATAAGTATTTATTTAACCGGAATATGACTCCTGGATTATGCTTTACCAAATAAATCTCAGTATACATTCGCAGACCAATTCCATGTCGTCTGAATCCCTGCAAATCATGTCAAAGCAGCCATGAAAAATTAAACAGCGCATCGCATCAAAACATTATAAACAAAATTGGTTCAACTGGAAAAAAGAAACACGCTGAAGTGTATAATCATTTTCTTTAATTCACACTTTAATAAACGATTAAAAAATATCACCAATGAAAAGCGGGAAATCAAACTTAATATATTTCATTAAAAAGGRAATACAAAGACAACTTTTCGAATTTATGCGTCATCCGTTATAGYTCATYCGTAACGTAAAAAATGTTACACGGTTCAGCAGCCATAATCTACGTTTATGCATCACGTTTACGTATCAAATCCGTATCCACCTATACGTGCCGTATCTTTTTTCTATTYCTAATCAAAACAAAGAAACTTTTTTTTTCTGTTTCTTTACTACGACAGTTTTAAGTTGTCAAAGRCTGCATCTCATYGCCTTCCTCATTCATTGCATTCATATTGTCGCGGCTTTTTTGGGACTTCACTCTATACGGTTTGCTATGGTCACCGGCGGCACGTGGGTATTCCTCGGTCATTGCTTTGAACGCATCTTCCGTTCGCCAGAATGCATCGCCCTCAGAGGATTGACTAAGCATGGCGTCGATGTCAGCCTTGAATTGAGCCTTCTGCTTCTCTTCAAAAGCTTCTCGGTGTTGAATGGCTGCTTCCTCGTCGTAATCACCCGCAAAGATTTCCTCATAGCCACTTCTCTTCTTGAACTTGTTGTACACGTCTTTRAGCATYTCTGTTGGACTCTTTGAAGTGCACTTGTCTTCCTGAAACATCTTCGTTGCTTTGTTTCTTCCTCTTTCCCTGGCGAGCTCCTCGACTTTTTCTTTGTACGTTTTGGCGGCTTCTTCCTCTTCAATATCTAAAAATTCTTCAGGACTCTGGATGGAGGAGACGGGTCTCTTGTAGCAACACTTGTGAATGGTAAGAACAAGGGTACAAAAACAGACCCAGAAGGCGATAATAGCAAAGCCGATGATTTGTGATTGTGTCTTGGCTTCAGTAAAGAGTTTTTCTATCCTGTAAGTCTCATTCTTGTTGTCTTTGAATGGCCTCAGTCTGTCTTCTTTATTTCCCTCCTTTGCGCAGACGTAGTACCTGCAAAAAGCAAATTATTACTATTTTCACCCTAGAGAATTTTTCGGCATGATTATGATAATCATATCATCATTATCATTTTCCAATATCAATTTGTTTTATTTTTATACCATATTACAATCATCCAATTACATTAGACACTAAAAGTGTGAAACACAAACCAAATCAAAATAATGGTAATTTAAGTCCTTGGTCAATCGTGGAAGCCCACAATTCAACGCAAACTGCTCCAATCTTTTTTTGTTCTTGTTTGACTATATCAGTTTCACCGCGGTCTTCTCATTTGCATTGAATGACGTACATGTGAGACTGCACGTTTGAGTTTCCTAACAATAATTTTTAGCTAAATTATTTCTGCATCCTATATACTAGTCAGTGTTTGTAGTCTATCATTGTAATTATTCCTTACCTTCCCTGAAGAAAAGCCCAGAATAGCCACAACGAGGCTGCAGCAAGCCCATTGTATACAACAACAAAAAACTTACTATCGCCTATCTTGACAATACTCCACTTTGGTTTGCCACACGGAATAAAGCACCTCTTTCTCTGTTTGCGAGGTGCTTCACGATAGCATACTCCCTGCATGAGTTTCAAGAAATCTTCGCTTAACATCACAGACAAAACAGCCAAAATGAGCGCTGGAATAAAGATGAACACCCATCCATATCTAGCGTGACTTTCTACAGGGCACTCAAAGATCCCTTCTGTGGTAATGAGGGCTTCCAATGCAAACACCACAAGCACTGTAATGATGTTTCTGATGGTGCGATTTTCATATTTAAGCAATTCTGTCAGAGTTTTCAGCATAGTTTTCGGTAGTTTTTTCTCCAATTCTGTAGGCATTCTTTACTCCTTCACAATCCAGTRTCTCGGTGGTTGTGACTCCGAGGCGACCAGACTGTGTTATTTATGCCAATAGTTATTGACCTCGTGTCAACATTGATAGCTTTTTCATTGTTACATCCAGAGGGAAATTGAAAGTATTTCTCGCARATTATATATACTCATGGCAGTAAATTGCTCAAATATTCKGTGCTTGGAAATGAAAATAWTTTATGAAAGCAAGAATTAGCAAGACCTGTATGATAATAAGAATTCCTGACCTGTAGAWTAATGATCGCTCGGACAAGCTTGAACAGTTATTCGTGCAKKATCTCATACTCGGACCAAATTTCGTGCCATAAAGCATGTTTGTTTGATGTACATTAATGTACAATAGGTGCTTATTAAAWATTTTAAGTTAAGCTAAATTTTTGTCTTCGACACTCAATTTCTAGTAAACTACTTTCTATATATTGACAAACCAACCATCTAAACTTACTCAAAAGTGTTTATTTATATTTATTCATTTGATTATTTATTTATTAAAATAATAATCATTTATTAAAAAAACGATCTACAAATTGTATAAATGAGATTTTCTACTTATAATCATGAGTGCAACCTATAGTTTGCAATCAAAATGGTAAGTCAATACTAAATCATTTTGAGTGTTTTAACACTCTAAGAGTGCACAAAGCGTGAAAACGTTTTATATACTACTGGTAATAAATAGCGAAATACGATTACAGTGAAGTCATTAAACGCGTGAAAATAATAAAAAAGCGGGACTATTAAAGTTTGATAGTCAAATAGATACATCGAGGCCTAAGAGCAACTGAAAAGGTGTATTGTGATAAGGAAAACCTTAACTTTTCACTATTTTTCTTTGCGATTTTGTACAACACTCAAGCATAAGCATCAAAAATCTTAGGTTGCCCCTAGTTACTGTACGTCTTGAGTATGTGTAGGGCGTTTCTCCTCAGTGACGTCACTCACTGTCCTGTGTACTCTACCACAAACTCCCTCGGAACGGCCAGATTTGGACGTTCGAGTTCAGTGATTGGTCTGCGTCCACTTAGCTCTACTAAGAACTCAGCAGTTTTATAATCAAAGGTATAATTTTACACAAGTAGCGAGCTATCAAGTTGATATTTCATGTGTAAACCTTCAATTTAATTTTTAGATATAGCAGAGTGGTTCAAAAGTATTGCAAATTTCTGYATATCAAAATAAATGAATATATCTATAGGAGAATCACAAAAAAAGCCAAACAAAAACTCGTTGAACTGAAACAAACRATGCATAGTCATATGAGTTTACGATTTTTGTCTTTAATTCACATTTAAGTGTGAACTAAAATTTACACCCATGAAAAGACTAAGATTAGAAATTAAAATCAAACACTTTTCATTCAAAAGAGAAATTGAACTAAAGTTTCTTATAGGTCAACATGATACAGTTCAGCAGGGGCCGGGTTGTTCAAAGCCCAATTAGCGTTAACCCAGGGTTAACACCAAAGGTTTTCTAAGAGTTAACCCAGCATTAGCGCTAATCGGGATTTGACGACCCGGCCCCAGCTACGATCTATTGTACGTTCATGTATCACGTTTACGTATTAATYCCGTATAAAACGGCTTTTAGATATAATACGCTATACGACTACGTATCATTTATGCGCGTTAATTTTTATATAGATTTGAAAGCTTGTGTATATTTTAAACGCTTCTCATTGTTTCTATTTCTTATAGTGTACTGGTTCCCTGCATCTCGACGTCTCCCTCATTMGTAGCAATCACATCTCTACAGCGATGTGGGGACTTCCCTATATACGGTTTGCTATGACCAACAACCGTACGTGGGTATTCCTGGCCCATTGCATTGTACGCATCTATCGCCCGGCAGTACTCATCTTTTGAGCAAGGGGATTGACTAAGCATCGCTTCGATGTCAGCCTTGGCTTGAGCTTGGTGCTTTGCGTCAAAAGCTTCTTTGTGTTGAACGGCTGCTTGCTTGTCGTAGTCGTCCKCAAAGGCTTYCTCATAGCCACTTTTCTTCTTGAACTTGTTGTACACATCTATGAGCATTTCTGTTGGACTCTTTGAAGTGCACTCGACTTCAAACATCTTCRTTGCTTTGTTTTTTCCTCTTTTCTTGGCGAGCTTCTCGAGTTCTTCTTTGTACGTTTTGGCAGCTTCTTTTTCTTCAATACCTAAAAATTCTTCAGGACTTTGGATGGAGGAGACGGGTCTCTTGCAGCAACACTTGTGAAAGGTAAGAACGAGGGAAGAAAAACCGACCCARACGGCAATGATAGCAAAGCCGATGATTTGCGATTCTGTTTTGGCTTGTGTAAAGGCTTTGTTAATCATATCAGTCWCATTCTTGTTGTCTTTGAATGGCCTCAGTCTGTCTTCTTTATTTCCCTCCTTTGCGCAGRCGTAGTACCTGCAAAAAGTAATGTTATTTATTTTCATACATGTTTACCCGACATTATTGTTATCATAATAATTTCCCTGTAAATAAAGTATCAAATTGTCTGATTTCTATCATGTCATATTAAATCACCGCCAGTACTTTCTTTGTACTCTATCATTGTAATTCCTTACCTTCCTTGAAGAAAAGCCCAGAATAGCCACAACGAGGCTGCAGCAAGCCCAAGGTAGACGACCTCAAAAAACTTACTATCGCCTATCTTCAAAATACTGCACTTTGCCTTGCCACACGGAATAGAACTCTTCTTATAATAACAGACGCCCTGGATGAGATCTACGAAAGCTTTGCTTAACATCACAGACAAAAGAGCCAAAATGATCGCTGGCACAAGGATGAACACCCATCCATATCTGGCATGATTATCTGCAGGGCACTCAAAGAAGCCTTCTGAGCTAACAAGAGCTTCTAGTGCCAACACAAACAGTATGGTAATAATGTTTCTGATGGTACGGTCCTGATTTTGACGCAAATTTTTAAAAGTTTCTAAGAACTTAGCATTCGATAGCATTTTCTCTTTTTTATAAGGTTGTTTACCTTCACAATCAAGCTTCTCGATAGATATGACGCAAGACTGAAGACGGTTCCCGCTATTTATGCMAATAGTTGACACTTGTTGGTCTGAACAATGACGGCTCCTCCCTAATGCACTTGTAACATTATAGAATATCAACATGAATCGTTTAAGGAACTTTAATGTTTTATACCTAAAACATTTTAGAATACTGCTCTTTATCCTGCACGTTTTTCTTTCTGTTAATCACAATTTATTACTTCTTGTGACTATATTTGTTTCACGGTTTAATGAAAACCACTCTAACCAGCTGCCAATATCATTTATAATTATCTCAAAGTTATATCAACTGTTGTTAGCTATATTTAGCTCCTTTTTATATTGACGCTTTGGGTTTTATTAGAACTTCATTCCTCTAACATCGGGTTTTATGCGACATAGAGTATTCCGTCAAATTCGCAATAATTTCTACACTTATATCATGTAATTTTTAGTCAGTATTTATCTCAAAATGACCTGAGTTTTGCATCAGTTGAAGCTCGTAAAGGACAACTGACCCTTGGTACGTAATGAAGTTCAAGTGGTTCAATGGCCTGCGCAGCGGAAACATGGGGATAKGAGAGGCCGCCTTAGGGTCGCTACGTACGTTGGCTGAAGTGGATGTATCCGGCTAAATGAACTATGTAACACTTGATAAAATAGATGTTAATCCTAATAATAACATATATAGCTATTTCAAAAAGGGTGTCGGGGAGAACGGTGAACGGCGATTGTCGAAGGGAGATTGCACGACCGAAAGGGACAATGGTTRCACTGTTTTGATAAACAAAATTTCACTTATTAGATTCACCTTGCATACAAATGGGGACTAAAAGGAGCCAATGTTTACCACAGACCACCTAACAGTACAAATCAGTTATTTCCTTTCAAAACCCATGGCTACTTTCGGTCGTGCAATCGCCGTTCGACCATTGACATTCGCCATTTTATCCGACAACATTTTTTGAAACAGCTATATATGAGTTGCATAAATAGAAAAGGAAACCATTATTTTAGCTTCAAACTTGAGGAAATTATTAAAATAGTCACCTCAGACCCGTGATTCATTGATTCACTTCCAATCTGTGTAAAATCTAGCAAATTCCAATGAAACTTTCATTAACTGAAAAGATCTCCAAGACTTTCAAAGTCGTGGAATGAAAAGCTGCTTATTTTTCATATGGCATAGGCCATACCGCCAACACTACAATTTCAAACAAAGATTTGAAAAAATTAATTAATTCTACGATATCAATGGAACTTTTTAAGTATTTTTTTACAGAGACTCTAAGTGAAGAATAAAATGCAGCGGGCATTTTGTCTTAGTTATTGCGGTCTACTAGTATAAAAAGGTATAAATCACTTATCGATATCTTATTTACAAATAAGAAAGAAAAGATAAAATCGTCTTGGCTATATTATTTTTATAACATTCTCACAATCCAATATGCGACCAGGAAAATAGGAGCCCCTAAGGGTAACCCTAAAATACCTCTCACACGTCATCTCAAAAACATAGACGTCAGAAACAAAGTGAAGCATATCGAACAAAACTAGCCCAAACATTGGTGAATACTCTGGAGGTGGTACATATGCACTAAGGAAGAAAGCATGAAAATATCTGAGCAATCTTCATACGCAAATAGTGATATAAAAATGGAAGTACAAACACTATTTTCCTTGAGTTGAACTATCCCTGTATTTTAAAGACTTCGTTATAAAGACGGAAAAGTCTCGTTGTATGCTATGGTATTTCAGTGCTTTCTTATAATCTTAACTCAATATACACCTACTTGAAACGTTGTCGGGTTCAAAGGTTACGTCATCAAAGCTAAGGCCGAAAGGTAGCACGGGAAGGCATAACATTATGTGTACAACAGTGTTTCAGTTCTAATAATCAATCTTTTAAACATTTTATTCATCAAGAAGTTGTTCATTTAATAATTTATAAAATATTTGGTAATTAAATAATCATCTAGTTCGATGAATTCAATTTGTTCATTCCTATATTATTTATTCATTAATAAACTCAACCTCACTGACATATTTCTTTTAATTCACGTCTTCTCCTTGTTATTCAATCAGACAATTGTCGACRTGGCTGTTGACTTCAGYATTGCTTGTCCCATCCTCAAATGATTTACCRCATATTGGGCAAGTCATGGATTGATTATCACCACCCCCCTCTACAGAGGAAGTATTTTCACTAGTCCTCCCTAGTGWGGCAAATATACTTGATTGTTTTTGACGTTTGTTCTTAGTCCCCGAAGAATCAGACGATATGGTTCGTTTTAACGAAGGGCCGCTGGAAGTATTCTTAGGACGGCCCCTTTTTGATGTRGTCCCTTTTGCACTGGTCATACTATTAGATGCTTTTGTTTTCTTGGCGCCGCTTAAATTACATGAYGATAGAGACCCGTTCGTTTTAGAAGACTTGTCAGAAATGTCTTTGATGATTGCACAATCATCAATATCTAACTCGCCATTGGTCTTTGAAACTRTGACATCATTCTTATTGTYCATGCGTTTGAAAAACGACTTGATGTTAACAGGAGGCTTGGTTGCCTTGCTAAGGGTTTTTGAGTTGACTTCTGTGGCTGTCTCTTCTGATGGCTGCGCGTGGACTAGAAGCGAATCTTTGATTGACGTACCAGCATTCCTTTGAGACTGAAAATAACGATSGATAGGAATGGAGTTGCAAATGGATTTCAGTTTCTTCTTTGAAGCAAACTCAAAGATTTTAAGTCATAAAAGATTAAAAGTACATATTGAAAAAATTGCAGGAATTTTATGTTATCGTTTTCTGTGTACTGCAAAGAATGCAAAAGACAGCCTCTAAAACAATCCTATTATTCCTAAATTCAATGTCACGACAATTTCATAACAACTTTGAAGAAAAGGTGAGCTTTCCTTATCGATTGCAGGTTCGGCGTTGTAGATACATCATAGTTAAAACTATGATGTGATACAAATGGCAGAGAATCCAGTGATGCATAAATGTTGGCGGAAAAAGGAAAATACATCGAGTGTTCACTAATACGAGAAATTTTCATCGGTTACTTTCGTTCTTTATTRTTTTGTATATTTTTAAACCGAAGGAACCTTTTCTAAAGGACTTCTTCTTTGGTATACGAAGACATCGGTGATACTGACGAGAAACTCTATAATACTGACAGACTAAACAACGACGTCCAATATCATTAATTACTAGTGAGATAACATTACGAACCTTTCTCTCTGACCGCATTGAAGAGGTTCAAACAATCTACAAAAACTTACCATTGCATCATTAGATTGCTGTTCTTTTAGAAGTGACGTCACTTCCGGTATAAGTTGCTTGGGATACCTTAAACCAACAAGCCGCTGACCATCATCGAGTTCAACACGGACAACACGCAATGTTCGGTTCTCACGACTGTTGRAAAATGAATAAATGAATAAATAAATAAAAGAATGCACAGGATGAAAGTCCTACTCCTTCACTTAGATCACTACGAGTGATTCAGTAGTTCTACAGYACAGCGGTATATAGTTACCATGGCAATACTCACGTGATGCCCACTTTGTCTGCATTTCTCGTCATGGCCCATTCTAGTGTTGAYATGATGGGAACAATTCCTCCACAGAGAAGACTAACTTGTGAAATACGGCAGCCAACTAAAAGTAAACATGACCATTTTAGACTCCTTACATTTAAATCGGTAAATAGTTTTGATTGCTTTCTTTTTAAATGTAATGACTCTACCATGTGGTAATATTTAGCGTTTACATTTGAATGAGCATGCGCGTTACGCGCTGTGACATCTAGCTACTTTCAGAGGCTTGTTGACAAACACTTTTGAAAATGYCTTTTTAAAAATTGGATTATAGCATTACCTTTGCATAGCGATCCAGATTTACAACTTGGACCATGGAAACAATGCTCTTTGGTTTTCTCATATTGGGTCGTCCATCCTAATTCTGTCAAGGATAAATACTCACTAGTCCACAATATCAAATGCCTACATTATTCCTTCAAAATTCAAAAGTTCTTACGGTACAAGGCACAAAATAATTCTTTTAAAACTGATATTGAATTTGGATTTTTTTTATGGTACCTGCATCTTCGGGTAAGATTTTTTGATATTTATGAAGTAAATCTTTCTTTTCTTCCTCRAAAGGAGACTGTCCAGTATTGGGCCTGGAAAACATACAAAACATTTATGSATATACTATTGCTAATACTGAATGTAATACAAATCAACAATGATAATGAGTTACCTTACGATATTAAATAAGTGCGTAGATGATTCTTTCTGTAAGGCGAGCAGATAAAAACGTTGGTGTTTCTGTTCGCGTTTTGAGCAGTAAAAGCCGTCGAGTTCAGTTCTGGAGCTTTGTTGGTAGCGGGCCAGAGCAACTTGCCATTCCACTCCACGATCGACATTMAGRACYACATGGCTGCAAGATRATAGTTGGTCATAAAATTCAAAGAAATGCTTTGTAAATACRTGACGAAATGTAGTTGAAGGTTAATGACATAAGTTCTAAATACACACAAGAATGATTAAATGAATGGAATTTCCCAAATTCCATTTTCTCCCTTTAACATTGCAAATCCTTTATGGAACGGAACTAGGTAAATTTACAAAACAACACAACTAAACAAAAAAATAAATAAGCAAATAAAAATATACAATAAATTAATATTATTTTACGTACCGTGTAGGCATAATGCATTTTTGTACTTCAGTAAACACAGACTGTGGTGCACCGACCATTGTGATGGACGATCCTGTGATGTCAGTTACTCCTTCATTAAACCTAAACACCGAATAATTTTACATTAATGTATGACGTATATGTTTCACCTACTTTTTTACGGTGTTAAAATCTTATCTTTTTGCACAGCTGTAATGTAGAGGTGTTTTTTTTATGTAGGGGTGTCCGTTATGTAGATGTATGCCGCAAAACACTCACTTTCCTTCCCGCTTAGCTGCTTCGACAAATGCGTTCAATGATTCCACAAAATAAGAGAAAAACTGAAAAAAGAGAAAATTTAATGTTACTCTGTGTACAAGGAAACTAGTTCGAATATTTCAAACGAACTTGATTGGAAAACAGTTTAATGGAGATTTATCACTTAGGTGAGAGAGTTTAAGAATGACAGCATGACTAACCATGTTTTGTTTTTCAACGCTCAATCCCAGAATCCTATTCAGAAACCTCGAGACATCGGTGGCATCTTTGTCTTTGACGGTGTTGCTACCTGCATCACTTATCCCCATAGCTTGAATACAGTCCTGACACAAACAATACAACAATTAATGACGAGCAGAATTRTTTTATAAGGAACAAAGGTTTAACCCCCAGGAGAGTGTGCTTATGTCTGATATAAACTCCAAAACTGATTCAAAAAATGTTTTGAAAACTCAAGAGATGGGATAAAYCAAAAGTGTTTTGGTACTGCTAGTAACGCACTAAAATCCGTGAAATTGTGCTAATTTGCTTTTAAGTTAAAATCTTTCTTTAAATACATCATACCCTAAGTACGTCATTAAAGCTGGTGACGTCATATGAGGTCTTGACTTGCGCATTAGCGAGAACTTGGTTGAGCTTAATACTGGCTGGYAATGTAGACTGAAAACAATCAATCAATTGATACTTAAAAAATACTTCATTGTTTATTTTTATATTAAGAAGTCCGCGTTATATTCCAGGTTATTAAAAAGYCGAAAATGAAAGAATCATCATCATCAATTGGCTGGACTATGATCTATTATATCTTACCGAGCTGATGGCGTTGTACATTCGACGAAGAGCTGAACGACCGTAGTTTGTATCAAAGTTAAACTCGGTTAAGTCAGCACCAGTAGCTGCTCGTCTGTCGCCCTTTGTAAGTGCACCTGCAAACAATAGAGATATTCGAGTGCAGTCCAGTACCCAGGCGTTCCTTGCCGGTGCGAGAGGGTCCTGGGATGAGCGGGTGGTCGCCGGAGAACGCCGTTTCCGTCACTCTGTGATGTCATAAACTGATTCGAGTACGGGAAGTACGAAGACGGAAAATGATAAATATGGCGAAAATACATATTATGACATGCATGAGTAAAGATAACGATACAGTTCATGAAGTGGGTAAAGATGATGACGATGATAAAATAATGACGATTATAACTATTGATCAAGATGACAGCGAGGAAATCAAGTTAACCTAGTGATTGTAGTCGCTTGGCAACAGCAGCAGCAAATCGTCTCTCTCCTCCAAGGTTGGTCGTGATGAGTTTGTAGATCGGACCGCTGAAGTGAAATAACTAGGAGTTATAAAAAAATTTATTGCTAGTTGTAATATTCTCAGTGGTGTCATTGATTCACGTGACTTTCGACACTCGTCATTCAAAAACCCACCAAACGTTGCCGCAATAGAAGTAAAGATTTTTCAATTGGTCACTCACTCATCCATCCCCTCACTTTTCCATTCTTTTCATTTATTTATTCACTTCACTCATTCATCCATTCTCCCATCCATCCAGATTCCATTCATTGTGTTATCGATACCTATCACATGACAAAGATACCTGCTCTGATTGGACCGATGTGATCGTCCTAGCTGTTGTACAGCCTTGTCAGCACTCCAAGGTAATTCCATAGTTAAATGAATTCGACGTTTCTGATTGGCTACTCGTAAGTCAGAATGCAGTGATATACCAGTACTTGCGGCATCTGAGATGATGGCTACCAACTTACTTCCGTCCATGAAACTATTTCTCTGCAGTTAAAAGGCCAAGAGGATAGGATGAAACATTGATGAAACAGCGACCCTTATTCCCAGGCCCTTATAACCCAAACGAAGGGGTAAGGACCTGGGGATGAGATTGACAGCGATGTACAGATACAAAAACAAAGGAAATTACTAACAAACGTATAGAAAATAATATGACGTAACATTATTAATTATTAATTACTAAATGATAATACTTAGCAAAGAAATGATTTCACCTCTTGTATGTTTAGACTGTCAACCTGTGAACTATCAGACTCTCGAGCTTCGTAGACAGGCATCTGTCCTCGACGCACTACACGACCACGCCTTCCAGTCATCTCACTGACACACTTTGATCCTCCTAACTGGTCAATGAGGTCATCTAACGGGCTGAAAAAAAGTACTTTATCTACAAGCATTCTAAATGCTAACAATGCTGAGCATTTTAAAAAAATAGAGAGGATATTACATGGTCGCATGGAGATATGGATTTTCAACACGAGAATAAAATACATATCTTCAAGAGACCATGTAATATCCCATCATGCGCAATCATCAATGCATATCTTAGTTTGTGYATTTGCTGTTGTGGCAGTCTATAATGTCATCTAAAAAGTTGCTAGCACAAAGCCAATACATTATTGGTAGTATGTGATAATTGATGGTTTTCAACCATTCCCAGGAGAGAAAGTCAAACAAAAGATGTCCGCCATTGCTGGTGGACCTGACAAAAGAAAACCACCGCCGTGACTGGTGGACCTTTTTGTTTTGCTCACTCTCATGGGAATGGTTGAAAACCATCAATTTGACCAACCTTATTGGTAAATCAATTTTCTTCACAAAACCAAGAAGTAAAGACTTTGCAGCCACTGACCAGGAATCTTCCAGAACAGTGCCATCCTGATAAATGTAACCATAGCAACTGTCAATCAATGTTTTTGATGGTATAAATTGTTTTCACTTACTTTAGTTTCTATCTTGGTTGGGAAGTACTGTGTGATGAACCTGGTCATGATTTCTTCTGTTATTGAGATGAATTTAGTRATTTTGCCACCTGTACGATTCAATTCAGTCTCTAGGCTTGCCTGGTAACAAATACAGAAAAACTCAYTGTTATTGCTAAATWMKWATTTTTGAAGTACAGTGTTTCTTTCATATTATTCACATCTAGATGAAGTGGCAGATGTATAGTGTAACAAATAGACCAACCTCTCCAAATACAGAAAAACTCAYTGTTATTGCTAAATTCCTATTTTTTCCATATTATTCACATGAAGTGCAGATGTATAGTGTAACAAATAGACCAACCTCTCCAGTTGTTTGAAGGCCAATCACCACACACTTGTCATCTTCTAAAGCTKCCTTCGCTTCTTTAACAATGGTAGGAACCTTGAGGCTCATACTAGAATAAATAATACAATTATAATCTTAAGCATGCTAAAATCAACACATCATCAAATCAAATAAAAAGTGAMACYCACCATAACTGCTTAAAGAATCTYTGATGACTTGACCAAAACTGTGACCARACTCGTGKGTTGGCCGATTTAGTTCTTGCTATGGCAAACTCAAGTGACTTTTTTATTTCATTCCTTGGAATCAATGAGATTAAACAAAATGAGATGAGAAATGAGAAATGAAATGGGACATGAAATAGGATGAGATTAAAGGCAATCTTTATATAATAGAGATACAGGAATTCTATTATACTAACCATACATGAGCTGAAGTGTCATAAACTTTGATTTGCTCTTCTGTAAGAACTGCTTCAACATTGAAAAACTAGCAATTCAAAAGAATAGGTTTTTAAATGGTTCATCTATTTAAAAACTAGAATTGGACTGGCCTTCTGCGCAGGCTTCTTCAAAGGAAATGGATATTTTCTCTCTTTGGTTATCCTGTGTTGATTTATACTGACCAAGTAAAACTGATGGGGAGAGATAAGGAACAACAAATATGCCTCCCTCTGCCCTCTGTCCAGTTTTTTGCCTTGACACAGGAATCCCGCAGAATAGAGTTGCCTGTGTATCAATGATTTACACACCTCTGCTTGTCTAAAACTAAGTCCTCTTGACACATACATCCCAGAAGCTTTCATCTCCATTGCTAGCATTTCAGCTGCACCTGAATGTAGAAAATTTAGATCATTATGTAAATAATCAGCAAGAGCCTTTGAAGTATAGTGTTCTTCTAATTGATCCTGCAATACCTACCAAGACCTCGTTTTGTGATGGACTCCAAAAAGGACTCAAAAGATTTGAACGCCGTACCAGCACCCCACAGACCAAGCCTCTCCATGAATGCCTGGAAAGATGATAATATCGCATTTCAAAGAAATACTATAGAATTAGGAATAAGGTTACACAAAATTCTTCAAAATATTATGCAGATACAGTGCATATAATTCAAACACAATTCAAGGATTTTGTTACTGTTAGACTTAAATAATTAATATGAACTTAATTATCTACTATACTGATCCACATTGGAATCAAGCCTGCATTCATATAAATACATTTTTTCTTGACTTAAATATTTATCATTAACTCATTTACCATACAATTTCAAAACAAAAACCACACATAAATTTATAAATGTCTGCATGTTTTATAACAAATTATTTGTATATTTGATTACCATGTTTTTGACATCAGTGACTCCTGTAGCACTACAATAAACAACTCTTGCTCTTGGCAGCATTCTATATTAAATACATTATAATAAATACCTATTATCTATGTCAATGAATATTAAACCAATAAAACTAATCAATCAAAACTGACAGTTTATCATGGCATCAACCAACCACAACCAAACAATCACACCCATGGCTATCAATTAGCTTCATAATTCAAGTTTAGCCTTCCACAGATTGCATTTCCTATCAATTTTTGTGCATCAAAATTGACTTGATGAACAAATCAACAAACATTCACCTCTGAATTGTTGTGACTGCCAAAGCAACTTTGGTGCTGGTTTCTTCTTTACCCTTCAATGAAATATCATTCTATCAAGCAGAGCAATATCATCTTTTTATAGTACATTATAATTTGCTACATGATATTATGTTGTGCCTAGTGAATACCATCACCTACTGGGACAAAATTCTTGGCTTTATGACACTCGTCAAATATCAAGCATCCATCAAATTTGTCACCACCACACCAATCCATCAGCTGTTGAAGTCTACTTTGACGGGTGCTACCTAATTAGTGTCAGGGAAGATTAATATTTTAACAATAAAACTATAGTTAGTTTAAGCTCTGTGTTATCCAAATGTTTGAACATTATATCTGCTTAAAAAATAGATCACCTTTCTGGACAGAGGACACAAGTGTAGCATAGGTGCTGAAGACAACTCCTTCTTTACAGTCAGCAGGCAAACCAAATACTCTATAAAACATAGAAAATCAAATGGATTATAACAAACTTATACATAACATCATTGCTGGAGAGGTATGGGTTGAAATCTTGGCAACGAAAACCAATATAAAATATAAAATAATGACTGTCTCCTTCACGGTTAATACCTGCCCCATCTTGACAGGTAGCCATGCCTTTACATGGAAGCGAGACAACCATTGAGCGCTCAATGATAGATACCTGTCTCACTTTGATGTAAAGGCACGGCTACCTTTCAAGATGGCGCAGGTAACTGTGAAGGAGATTATTAACAAAAAAACAAACATTGTAGGTATCTGACTTACTTTGTTTCTTTATCCAGTTGTTGACATCCCTCGATGACTTTAATATAACAACCAATGTCATTCAAATCTCTTCAAAAATAAAACAAGAATATCATAACTTAATGTACATGTAGAGTACCCAGTCATTCTACAGTAAACCACAACAGCTATTGCTGCTTGGGCCATGGACTTAACCTTAACAAGCAGCATTCAAATGGTGATGAATGCATGCAAATATTCATCATTCAGGGATATAGTCTCCTTTGCAGTCTACTCCTTTGTTGGGCTTCCTGTAGGGACAGGAAGCCTGACCAAGGGGTAGGCTGCAAATGAGACATGGATCATGGATAGTAATAAATTAATATTCATTAATAATTATAAATAATTATTGATACCTTTGTGCATCTACTTTCAAGTCTGAGGAGATACTGAACCAAATATGCTTGCACCTTCCTCTAGCATAGTTATCAAGGATGATTCCTGAAATCTTTATCATTCAAAATAGTGCAATGTTAAGAATAATACTATAATACTTGAGCAAAACTAATCACATACTCATCTCCTCAAGTCTGATACACAAAAAGAGTGCAATGTACCAAATACTTAGATATATATATACTTATAATTAGACAGAAGTATGCATGTACCTGCCGTCCTTTACCAACACCTGCGCCATCACCAATAAAGAAACCAGCTCTTTGACCATTAGCAAGAACAGTCTGGTGTCTTTGGCACTGCATGAATAACACAAATCAATGAATATAGATTTATCATATAATTCTCTATGAAATACCTATATTTCTCCATTTCACTAGTAACACATTCGAGGTTTCTCTATATAATGCAAGTAAGAAAAAAGGTATTTTACAACATAATTTGCTTTCATATAAAATTATATGATAAATAGAATATTACATGTTCGCTTGGGGATATGAATTTTATCTTCTTGTGTTGAAAATCTCATTCGCTACGCTAACTCGTGAGAAATCTTTTCAACACTCAAAGATAAAATCTGTATCTCCGTATGACCATGTAATATCCTCTATTTATCCCATAAGTCATTGTATTTACTCATTTATATGCAAAACCCACAGGAATCCCAATAAACAGGAAACAAAATTTATAAATATGTATTAAAGGGACATGGTCTACCAGCATTCAATGCGGCCGCGTTTTAGATTTTCATATAGAAAATGAGGTGACTTTGACTTTATCCATTCGCAAGCCGTTTCCATACATTGGTTTAAAGGTCGAGGATAATAAAGAGAAAGTTTTTGCTGATATTACGATGTAGTTATAATATTACATGAGCAAATTAAAGCTGGAAAGGGATGCTGTTGGACCATGTCCTTTTAATTCAAAAGCTGACAACAGTATGGTGAAAATAATGAATATTTTGAAATTATTATCCTCCCTGTGCCCTCTAGAAAGGTAGTGCCTTTTAACCTACACAAAACCACCAGTGAGCTTGAAATTTGATAGATTACCTACTTTCATACCTATATAAACAATGAATAGTACTGTATATTATACTGGTGTCTAACATAACAAACTCAATATTTGCTGGCTTCAGTGGAAGATCAAGGGCAATGTTACAATTAAAGGTGGCACAAGAGTGTGTAAATTAGTCTATTTGAGTCAACAAAATATTAAAATGTTTATGAACTTACAGCATACAGCACTCCCTCAAGCTGTAAATCACTAAGTTTGCCCATTTCTAAGATATCTGATGGAATAGCATCAAATAGAGGATACTTTGCTGGGGGTAATCTCTGGGCCTGTGGAAATTAAAAACTTTATCTTATTAGATAAGTTACAAAACAATGATATCCTACATTAGTATCCTCCAAACTAGGGGCTATCACAAATCTAGCATTCTGATTGGCTACCAAGTTATAGTCTATTCATGATAGTCAACGAGGTCGCATTGATGTCGCACAAAGAGAAAATAGGCAAAAATGTTGGCCTATCAACTCTTGGTCCCCTCAAACCTTCTGATCTGAATGTTAAGTAGCCATGGAGACTGTTGATTTGATTACACGTCTTTTATATTCAGTGTTTTACATTGATATCATAGTATCATCTGTACCATACCGCTAGACAACCAGCTTCGACTATGTCTCCAGGATGGTTTTTGATATTTGGCTGATCAAGGGACAGACAATGGTAACTGGAGAATACTTCTGCACTATAAAATCACAAAGAATACAATTTTAATAAGTCGTATTACATGAACTATTTAAGCTTAACATAAGCTTATTACATTCAAGTTATTGACCCTCTAAATTATTCAAATCTACTTCATTCATTTTATATCTAAACATTCTAAATGCAAAACCAAAATAAGATGTTAACATGTATTTATATTTAATTTTACATAATTACAAGATATCATTCTAAGGTCATTAAATACCTCGAAGTATCGTCCACAACACCATGCGCCATCTTATTGATTTCTTCCTGTTCTTCGTTCGACCCAATGACTCGGTTAATAACCATTTTCTGTGGAGTTCGGCCCTGGATTGCTCTACTTGGATGCATGGCTTCAGCTGAATAAAACCACAGCTGTGTTTTGGAGGATTAATATCACAAAATAAACTTTAAATGTTATGAAGCACTCATTTCATATAAAACTTTCCCGCGCATCTATTGACTAGTGACCATTMTCACTCGATCAAGAATTTGACAGGGAACCCAAGTTTGATTGTTCTTTCTCAAAATATTTTTGTCTTTTTATTTGATAATTCTCTCAAATAATACCAAGAAATGGAAAAATACAATAACAAATAAAAGATCGAGGAAAACTAGAGAAATAGACTGAAAATATATCGATGATCATGACGTCATAAGGCATGTTGGTTTCACAGTGCGCTACCGTACCGCGAATGCCTCTGAAATTTGATGCTTAAAGTTAGACATTTAGACCATAGCGAAGCAAGTTAATCAGTAACTGGTACTACACGACAAATGAACTTCTACCAAAGATAGTATACATTATCGAAATTTACAGAGAACATCTATGAAACCCTCTTTTTAGATGGTCATGAATTTCGCGGACGAAACTGGGGTATTCTCCCCATACGTCTTTGGGACAATAACAACAGTTTTAGTCGTTATTATGAGTGCTTCTTTGACTACGAATCTACTCGTCGCGATAGTTATGGCCAAGAAATGTCAACTTGGAGCGCATTCTTCTCACATTGGATCGAATCGGTTTGTTTTGAATTTATGCGTGACAAATGCTGTTTTATCTGTACTGGTTTTGCCTTTTGTCATTGTCTCTACAATCAAGCAAAGATGGATATTTGGCAATGTTTGGTGTCAAGCGTCAGGGTTTTTCACGATTCTTTTAAGTACAAACTCGCTATTGACTGTGATGATATTGAGCATAGATCTTTACCACTGTATTGTAAATCCTTTAACATACCATCGTAGAATGACGCCTTCAAAGACTATAAGATTCATAATATACTCATGGATACTGAGTTTACTTGCTGCAACATTACCTCTTGTTGGATGGGGTCAGTACGGATATCAACAATTGAAATATTCTTGTACCGTTGTTTGGGACAGTACTGTTAGCGGTGGATACGTTAAATTTTACGCCGTGATATTCTTCTTGGTGCCTTTTTCAGGGAGCTGTTGGGCCTATTATCATATCGTAAAGGCAGCAAAAAGACAAGCTCGTATTTTACCCATAAACAATGTGCCATTTAGGGGCTCAATTAGTTCGACATTATCTGGGAACTTTACTGGTTCAAAAGCATTTAGAATAACAATATTAGTTCTGGGTAGTGTAACAATTTGCTGGGGTACATATATCGTAACTATCCTGCTAGAGTCGAGCAAAGTGAACACTCCAACAGAGCTACAAGTGACGATAACAATTCTGAACTCTTTGATGACATTTATTTATCCAATGATCTATGGCATAAGGATCAAAAAGACACGAAGACGAATTCGAAAACTGTTTATTTCGATGTGTATATGCGGTCATGATAACAATGTCCGTCCTGTAACCTCTTCTGATGCAGGATTCTTCATCAATTCGACGCGTGCGTTTAGAAATCGTTCTGTTTCGGATGGCTCTGTGTTGGACTTCGAAGGAGCCAGAGATCTAACAACGGGTTGGTGTTTACCAGCTATAGTTGAAGAAACAGACGAAAGTCATCTTCGAGTTTTTACCGAAGTAACTGATCTAGACCGTGTGCAGTCTATTCCTGGACAGATTTCTGAATAAATTATTTACATACAACATAGTTTGTGCATCTCAATTGTCCTCGGTTCGGTCAGAATCGCGAACTTTTATTTACCACGCGACAAAAGACAAATCTTCAGTGTAAAAAGTTTATCAATGATGTAAAATGTTTTGGAGCAAAATTATCAATTAAAAGCGACATTATTTATATATAAAGAATACAAAATATGTAGGTGTTTGTACAACAACGTGGTATTTCCGGTTGGCGCCATACTTCCTTTCCTAGTGGTCAAGTCTGGGTGGTCGTCTAGCAATCCCTGCGTTCCTATTGGCTACCATTAGATGTTATCTAGGCGTTACTATGCAACGGCATCTGGTTCCCGATAAGACCACCCTCGCGAATCCTGATAAAACCTCCAGAACTCCATAAAAGGTATCCACTATGCCAGGCTCCTTTCCGTAGAGGTAGAGAAAAAAATGTGTATTACAAAATATATATAATACAAATAAATAAAGAACACACATACAAAAATTAAGCAACAACAAAAATCAAGCAAAACAACACAACACAAATAAAAACGAAAAAATAAAGAAACCAATAGAGGAAAAGGGGGGGGGGGGGGGGGGGGGGGGGCACGACTAAGCGCTCTGCTCAGTTTAACAGTCTCTCTCGCCCCTATCTCCCACGACTAAGATGAGATTCCTTTTACCTTTTTCTGTTCCAGTATTTTTGTCAAAATAAACTTTTCTAATTCTTTTTTTTTCCTTTTAAAAGCATTTGGATTTATAGTAACATTTATTTACCTGTCTATTGTTAGTTTTCACCATTTCCATGAGATTCAGAAGATAAAAGAGCGGCGGCCATGGGGAGAAATGAACAAATCATTCGGAAAAAAATAGATACTAAATGGGAAATCCTTTGTTAAAGTTCCTCCAAGATGACCTCTGTGACGTCTAACCTGAAAACGAAGACATTTGCTAAAGAATACTTTGGACTACCTGTGTCTGACTGTGCCCGCGAATTCCTGGTAAGCATTCCTTGACGCCGGCTCTTTTCAATGCTTTCTTCGTTGTCACTGGGTTTAAACAGTGAGAACCGAAATGGCACATCGAAAGCCAAAAATAGACGAAAAAATGGCAGGTACCATGGCTCACGATATCTATGGACTGACTGAGATAACTGAAGTGAAAGAATTGATAAGTTTTTATGACATAAACTTCCAAGTCAAAACACGACCAAACTCAGCTGGCTTGCCCAATAGATTTGTTTTGAAAGTCCTCAATTCCAGTGATAGCCAACATCCAGAATGTATTTTAGCAGAAGTGGAAGCTATGGAGTTTCTTAGGAGCAAAGGTTTCCCATGTCCAAAAGTATTTCCAGTTTATAGGGGAAATGAATTCATAGCGACTGTTAATCTTGATGATTCAGAAATGAATAATATTGAAGCACACGTGGTAAGGTTGATCAGTTTTCTGGATGGCACAACTGCCGATAAAATAGTTAGGAATCCGGATTTGCTTTACACTATTGGGACAGTTGTTGGATCAACAAGCAAACAGCTGAAGGTATCTAAATATTTAATAATTTTAATAAATTAATTATTTGATAATAATAAGGCAAATAATTTATTCACAATAATTTAATTGAAAAGTGTATTTTAATTTGTGTTATTGTCACCTTACCACTTTCTCTGTTTTTGTTTTTCATAACCTCACCATTCCTCCAATTTTTTCATTTCTCCATTCTCATTCTTTTCATTTTTTATCCTTTTACTCTTCTTCCTGCTAAAGTTTCAGCTCTCCTTTCTTTTTTCTTTTTCTTTAGACTGGCTAATCCATTCATTTCCATCATGTTTATTCCATCTTTTTCTTTTTCTTCTCATTCATTAAAGATCTTTGTTTACTTTCTTAGAAGCTTATATTATTCTATTTGGTTATAGGAATTTTCACATGAAGGAATAAAGTTGAGAACATCTCTAGGATTCAAGTGGAACATTTTAGAATTCCTTGACATTGAAAAGTACATCAATTCCTGTAATGATATAGAAGAGATCAGACTTATCCGTGAAGTGCATGCTGCATTTATGACAAAAGTGAAACCACAACTTGGACTTTTTCGCTCTGGGACTATACACAACGACCTTAATGGTCAGAATATCCTGGTCAGCAATTCCCCTTATCGTCTTACTGGCATCATTGACTTTGGTGACATGGTGACATCACTTCTCATAAGTGAACTCTCAAACTCCATGGCATTTTTCATGGAAGGTGATTGTGGTGTAGAGTTTAGCGGGTATCTTCTTGCTGGTTACAATTCCGTTTTTCCACTCCCAGACGAAGAACGTGAATTGCTGTATTATTTTGTTGCTGCAAGATTATGCCAGCTCATTATGTATTCCAACAGTAACCTTGATCAAGGTACAACTGAGGAAAATGTCCAAGCTTGTCTGCAAAAGTATAATAGGATACTTGTTGACTTTTGGGGACGTAAGAAACATGAAGTGGAAGAGATTTGGAGACTTGCTGAAATAAAGTCTAGAGCATTAAAATGAATATTTCCTTGTAGAAATAGACATATTTTAAAAATGAATAGCCTGTTTAGTATAAGCAACTCTTAGGGCTACACAGGCTAAAAAATAAAAGATTGACATATTTGAATGTTACTGATATTGTAGTTTGTATAAAAACTGTTGCTGTTAATGGCTTTTGGTAGGATACAGGATGAAAGCTTGGAAAAGCCATGTTCTAAAAAAGAATTGCCATGAAAAATGACAAGAAATCGAAAAAAATGAACTACAATGTGTATATACAATCTATGAGCGAGCAACAACCAGAAACACAAATATATTTATAAAAAGTACAGTGCACTTCACAATTTGGGTGTCACATGAGCTCCAGTCCCAGCCAATACTGGACTTGGACTAATGGAAACCCACACCTTACTCCGTCTAAAATTTCTATTCAAAAACAATAAGTCCCCTAAATCTATCCATTCTTAATTTCTATAATCGAGGGGAAAATTAGTTTCTATTTCTGGTTTTATTACTCAGGGACCTGTGAGCCCAACGAACTGACGTGACATGACAGCTTCCCAAAATGTCTGAGCGGAGACTAAGTTCTAATCATTGAGTAGACATGCTTCGAGTGGTGTTTACTTTGGGCAAGGCTAATAAATTTATTGCTTCGAAATTACTTCAACGAGCTTCTGTGTCAAGGATGTCAATGAAAGCTGTAGTAGTCCATGAATTTGGAGACTCGAGTAAGCTTTCGTACGAAGATGTGCCGATTCCTGATGTCGGCAAGGAAGAGGTAAGCTGGAAATCTTATTAGGTGAAATATCACGGAAAACATTTTCCTTAATTAAAACCTTAATAAAGATGTATTCATTTATCTGATATCGATCTTTAATATGTTTATTATTGTGTAATAGTATACTTACTTCGAATCCCTTGGAATATATTGATAAAAAAAAATATTACTTAACATACTTGACGGTCTTGATGTTCATCGATCAATTAAGCAAGCAACTCAGGAAAAATAATACAAGTAATTATATCCCACAGGTTCTTGTGAAAAACAGTTTTTGTGGTGTGAATTTCATAGATATTATGTGTCGACAAGGTGTGATGGCACAGCGGTTTCCTCAAAATTCCACCATGGGGTTTGAAGGATCGGGAGTAGTGGAGAAAGTTGGTGAAGGTGTACAAAATGTAAATGTTGGTGACAAGGTTGCTTACATTGGATTTGATGTAGGTCAGTATGCATCTATTTCAGAAAATGTTGAATACGGGTAAGAGCAAAAGTGCATTGTGGTCTTGCACTTGCATTTTCCTTGCTCATTTTCACACAAGCAGCACAAGCAATGTAAATGCATTAAAGCAAATGGAAAGGCAAGAAATGGAACTGTTTTTTCATTTTCAAGCACTTGCATTTGCATCTGCATAATTTTATGCTTACATGTATGCTTGCATTTCCATTGCTCATGTAGACCATGCTTAACCGAGAAGTTGATATCATCACGCTTCCTGTTCATGTTATATGTACTGACAAATTGTCATCAAAACTTACATTGTATAGGACCAGATGGTTTTGAGTGACAACCACTACAGACCCCTTATTCCTAGTTTGCTTTATTGAAATCATTAGGTTCCTATGCCGAGTACAGTAAAGTGCCACTGTGGAGGGTTATCAAGACACCAGATAATGTCTCCCTGGAGAAAGCAGCAAGTACTCTATGGCAAGGGATGACAGCTTATTGCTTTGTTGACAACGTGTACCCTATCAAGGCTGGTACTAAGGTACTTATACAAGGCATTGCAGGAGGTGTTGGTAACCTACTTTGTCAATTGGCAAAAATAAAAGGTGGGCTATCATCAGTATTGTAATTCAACATCAGTTCATTGAAAGCACAACCCTTAACTTAATCCTGAGGATTAGCATGGAATTATGCATAATTCCAGGCTTTTAAAGACAAAAAAGGTGTTACAAAGATTTATTTAGCATGTTATCTCCTACCTCATCATAGATTGATATTGGTTTGACAGCTGTGATGCATTATTTTAAACACTAGTCCTTAATCCTCATGGCGGACTGGGTTTTAATTATGCATGACTGCATTAACTTTTTTGTTCTTCAATCTAAAATTGTGAATTTTTCAATTGTTTACATAAATATTATAATTCTTATCATTATCACCAAACTCTCAAACTAGGCTACACCAAATTAAGCTACATTTTGCCATGTTTTTGATTTTTTACAGATGGTTTTGTTATTGGCACATGCAGCACAGAAAAAAAGCGTGCTATAGCCAAAGAAGCAGGAGCTGACGAGGTTATCTTGTACTCAGAAAAGGATTTTGTGGAAGAGACAAAACGAATCACTGATGGTAAAGGTGTCAATGTTATTTATGATGGAGTTGGTAAAACCACCTTCTTGAAAGGTAAATACTTCAAATAAAATTTCTTCTCTTGACAAGGAATCCAGAATCCAACAAAATTTTGGCTCTGGAATCCTTCGGCGATTGTTAGCCACCCCAATCCAAAATATGTTTTGTGTCCCTGACATGTGTGTACTAGCCAAAAAGTCCATGCTACGTGCCTAAATGATGTAATTTAATTAATACTACAACTGTAAATAATGGCATAAGAATATAGTTATGGTATGATTTTGAATCCGTCAACTCTTGTTTATCTGATTGGATATGAGTACAGTCAAACATACCCAAATGTAATAATGTGAACTGAAATGTTTATTTCGTGGATTCAGGGGTATCAACTGAATACTCTAAGTGTCTAGTTTTTTGTCAGTTGTGATTCCCTAGAAAGTAGGTCCAATGGTATCATGCAATTCATAGTTAAAGGTTTTTTTTGCAATTGTTTTACAGGATTTGATTGCTTGGCACCTCGTGGCACCATGGTCCTATATGGGGCTGCATCAGGTAACCCAGACCCAATAAATCCCATGATGCTTGCCAGAGGCTCATACTACTTAACATTTGGTTCCCATGTGCCTTATACAAGTGACCCTGACTTATACCCCAAGATGGCTACAGAGCTCCTTGATTTGGTTGCACAAGACAAGCTTAAGTTTGGTTCTGTTGAAAAAATCCCTCTGGCTAATGTGCAGGAAGCCCACGACAGGTTACAAGGTAGGAAGACAGCTGGGAAAGTCCTTCTTGTTCCTTAAATAGTATCCTAAGGTATACTTACTCTGAAGTGGTGGACTATGCAATGAAGCAATGTACCTTTTAAAAGTGTAACTTCAGATAATGTGAGGAGTGTTTGCATTGAAATTAAAGACCTGGATCACACTTTCTTAGGACATATCCAAGAACAGTGGAGTAGAGTAAAACGTTGAGAGGACAGATTAGGAGAAAGGAAAATAGGATATTTGTACTATAAGTCAAATTATGTCAAACACGTTCACCTTAAATAAACATACGGGAAAGAATCAAGGATTTCAGTTTGTTGCTGTGTATTTTATTCAACATTCATTTATATACATTTGTCAATATTTTGTTTTCCAAATAAATAGAAGTCGAGAAGCAGATACCTTATTACAACAAGATTTTAAAAAGTAGTCATCCAGAGAAACGTGAAAAAATCATTTTGTCTGCCAACTTACAAAGTGTTCTTTCAATGATCCTCCGGTGAGAGAGAATACCTCTGCAGTTCATTTAATAATGTTTGCTACTTGATGGAGGATACTTTTATTGAATGGCTACCATGAAAGCAGAGAAGGCAAACTACCTCTGCTAGAAGGATAGGGAAAAGCATTTTTAAAATGTGATTTTTATCAGTGTAACGTTAATGAATAAATGATATAAATACTTATCTACAGTGTATATAAATATACGCCTTCTTAGGATTTCTATTCAACAAGAGCCTTGCTTTCTGCAAGAACACTTTAAAAACGTATTGTTGTATACAAAAATCCAATAGTTTTTGCCAATAGTTTGGCACCTTCGGCGGTCATAGGAAGCAATGTTCTAAGGCCGCTGCTTCCACGAGGTAGGGTGTCCTGTGGGTATGTATAGTAAGACTTGTTAACGGGCTCCTATTGCATTTTAATATCGCAATTTTGTACACTATATTTCACGCATTTACAAATGTACATTTTACTCTCATGATGTACATAGTATGTAGTTTACCCTCTGGTGATATTTCTGCTATTCCTGTGTTTTCAAGTGTTTGGTCAATGTTTGGCGCATATTGACCACACCTTCATGCTAAGTCGCACCTTGTTTAGTATGTTTTGCGTTGTTCTAGGTAGCGTGATCTTCTTTACTTTAAAATCCTTTGCTCTTACGAAACTAAGTACAGTGGATAAAATCCTCTTTCAGATTCTGAAAATCTATACAATGCTGAGTTGCTCATGGATGAATTGTTTATGATTTCATGCGGCACGATGATCGTGTTCATGATATCTTAGTGACTGAAGCTGAAAGGTTGTTGGTGAAGTTGTTCTTCTTTCCAATAACTTTAATTTGGCATAGAGAGCGTATCCGTGGTGAATCCTGACATGTTATCCTTTTTACCCAGTAAACGTGCTAGCTTATCACGAAAGAAAGGGTCGAACATCGCGTATATCACCGGGTTCATGGTCTCATTCACGTAGCTCATGAACAATGCTATTTCATATATAGTCGATCTCCTACTCGCTGCTCTAGTACCGAACGCTAATCTAACCACTTCCAGTACAAACTTTGGAGTCCAACAAATAACAAATACGGTCATAAAAGCTAGGGTTAGTTTAACTGACTTATTCTTGATGCGACGTAAGTTGTTGATCGGTACGGGGTTCGGTGAGATTTGATGGATTGTAGAAGCGTGGTGAGATGGCTCGCCCACTTTCTTGAGCGACATGATCTTCCGGAGAAGTTTTGAGTAACAGAAAATCATTACAACAAGTGGCAGCAAAAATGTGAAGTACATCTCAAGAAACCAGTATATCTTAGTCATCCACACGTATGGTAAACCATGTGACTCGCATATCAATGTTGTAGCATTACTTCCCTCGTGGTGTATCTCCACTTCAACATCGTACATAAAAATATATGGAATCGAGAGAAGAAGTGGAAAACTCCAGCAAAATGACACGATGAGTTTCCCATGCCTTACTTTAAGTCTTTTCATCAAAGGTGTTACAATACAGATATACCGATCAACAGCGATAGACGTTATGATAAATACTGATGCACCCAATGCAACGGCTTGGATATATTCAACTATCTTACACATGGCATTACCAAATAACCAGAGCTCCAGAAACTCCTCTACGATTTCAAATGGCATAGCAAACAGAGTGACCACTAGGTCGGCTATAGCGAGGTTGAAAACCAGGAAATGGGTGATGTGTTGACGAGTGTGACTCCAGTGTTTTATACCTGTCGAGAGTAAACAAATCGAAGTCAAGTCAAGTTTAATCTTTTAATAACAAAAAAGAAGTTACAATTAATAGATACATAGTCTTTTTCGCAGCCTCCACATTTGTCGGGATTCCTGTCCTTTTCTGTCTTCTTTTGGGAGGACCAGGAAGCCCAACAAAATGGTAAGCTGCGAAGGAGACTAATAGATACACCACTGACCTGCAAATATAGTAAAGACTAATCAGGACAGGTCAGTGGTTTATACAAATGGTAGGGGAAAAATGATATATTATACACATATAGCAAAAAATTACATGTAATCTTGAATAAGTTAATGCCTAAATAAATAATAAATAAAGCTAAACGATACAGTGAAAATAACAGAATAAGAAAAGACATAAAACGAAAATGGACATGATGAAAAGAACACTACGCCTTAACGATCACTTGCCGTCCCTTATAGACATCGAGTTGCTCACTCTTGACAAAAGCAGTATTTGAAGTGAATTCCTTACCTATATATGCTACTATAGAGTTCCCAATTAGAGTAGTAAAGAAGAAAACAGTCATACATGCTCCTTTTGCCTGTGACATGACGGTCATACTGTTTGCGGCGTCACTGTTTCTAGACAAGAAGACAATCACACAACAACATTAGTATAATAGTAGGTAGGTTTTTAGTTGAACTCATTGCTCGGCCTCAGTGCATATAGTATTTCTTTAACGTGTTACGTTATACAAACCCAAAATCTCCAAAATTAAAAAACCCAAATTGTGTGCTAAGCTTAACAACTGAAGGCAACGAATCCTGACTGGTATTTCGATTTCGATTTTTACCCGGAATAATGTATCATTTTCCCGTAACCGTGTGGCCTTAAATTTGGTGCAGGTAAGCCTCTGATGTCCAGTTCTCTTCTTGCTTCCTTTCACTCAGTCAGTATATGACTTCGCTTAGGTAACTCAAACATTAAAACATTTTGTCAAAAGGTTTTTTATGTGTTTTATTTTAATAATTCCTTACTGGTTATGAGAGCAACTGTCGATCATAATAAAGAGTATAGTGCATGGTGCTTAAACACTTTGCTTCTAACTCTCAATAAGTTGATTGTTTTTGTATGTAAATAATAGTAACTTACGGGATGACAATTTTACAATTCACTGATCAATAAAACCGGTTTTATTTAACCAATCTTATCATTTGTTTACAAGAGAAAGATTAGATTGTCATGTCAGATTTATGTACGAAAATTAACGTCGTATGTTCAATTATATATAAAATGTTATTGGGGATGAAAATTAACACCTGTTTTTGGAAAGCGTCGTAGCTACGTTTAAATACATCGTATTATAAGCTCAAGTGCAAGAAAAATAGCACCGCGCGGCTTAATTAGTGAAATTTTCTTATTCTTTTTTCACTGCGTTTGTAGTTTTAGAATGTTTAGAATTTGAGGAAAATTGCTTCTTTTAAATTTTACTGTCATACAAAATAATAATAATTAAGATCATTTCATTTCAGAACTGAACAGACTGAATACCCTCAAACATGGCATTCTAAGATATATAAATTTGTTCAATGCAAACTAACTGGTTTCCGCAGGGGCATCTCCAATTGATGATCTCCCGACAAAACTCGCAATTCCTGATCAACCTATTCTTACAGTTTTATAAGCCTGTTTCAGTAGTTCAGCAAACAATACCGTACACGATGGATGACCAATTTCGTCATCCTAGCATAAAGTCGCTCTTAGTAATTAAATAGGGAAACATTGAGTATCATGTACAAGTTTGCAATTGAATGAATGCAATAGATGATCTGATAGTCTTGGATCGAGAACGAAATTAGTTCTAATCTTTGCACAAGATTCCTATCATATCATCATTTCCAAATTCTTGTTGAATATCACTATCTATTATAAGCATTACTATAATCATTTTTAAGTATTAAAACATCCGAAAAACATTTACTTACAATTCTGCCATGTTTTTCTCCTAATGACGGAGATTTAAAAATTTCAGGCTTAAATTGACTTTTTCATAAGCTTTAAGAAGCTGCGGCTTCTTCAATCGACGAGGAAATGTACCAGTATTACTGACGAATTTCATATAACAAATAAAACCGAATGACACTCGTTAATTAGATAGCTCAGATCTGAAACATAAATTAGATCCTAGGGCATCATCTATAAGAGGCCAAATCTAGTTGAAAATTGTCCGAAAAGAGTTACATAGCAAGTTATGAAATGTTTTTTCCATTTACAATTTATATATTTCTATTTTTTTATCATTTATTTTTTTTCTTTAATAATATCTCGGACGTATAAACTTGACATTATCACTTGATGGATTTTAGCCAATTATGTAGGTTATATAATACTGTACAAGTGGGTGTTTTTGCTGCAGGTGGCGGGATAAATCACTTACTGTTTCTATATCATCGTGTTTATTGAAATGTTTCGTAAAAGAATTACTCATTTGTGACACCCAATTATGATTAGTATCAATCAGTAAAAATGCAATTTCTTGTGAAGAGAAGTTATTTTACACAAAAAGGAGTCAGTACGTTTCGTATCTTTTTTTATATATTCTACATACTTCAGTATCACACAATTGCTTCATAAACAACATCTCTTCTCATAAAAACTAGATGAAAATAATCATTTGATGACAGAATGACAGAAACTTGATTAATTCTCAATACATGTCATACATTGACAAGTCTTAATGCTATATGTATAATATCAATGAAATGAAGATGATGTTTACAAGTTTTATATTAAGTTCGAATACAAGTTTCAAAATCTGCATTATGAGTGTTGACGATGTTCCTGTTTTATAAAATGAAAAGATCTTAATAGTATGAGGAAGTGGCTGATCCCATTAAAGAGTGCTTAATACACATAAAGTGTAGAGCTAGTTATATATATGATATTAAAGAGGCAAGATTTTGCTGTAACTCCGAGTTTCGTGCTACGCACTCATCAGACAGTATTTTCTTATAGATCTTATGAAAGAATCTGTTCACAACTTAAGACAGCGGTCACTCGCTTTAAGTGGGAGAAAAGGTGTATGAGGATTCACTCTAGTCGAAAACTCGCACATAACGCAGATTTTCAAACTCGTACTCCTTAGCCATGTACTCCTTAAGATCATTGTTCAAATTGATAAATCCAAAAAACAACAACATCGATTGACTCCTTTTGATGGTTAAGGTAGTTCAGTACATTACGTTATTTTCTATTGACAGAACACACTAGAAATGCTTGTAAAATATATATTGACTGGAGTGATTTGCCATTGCAGGCAGCGTAAAGAAATGAATGCTTATTAGTGTATTCTTTTCGATACAGAAAAAAAGAAAGCAATTGAAGAGTCTACTTCTTTCTACTTGTGGATACTTTTGACAGACGACGGAGCATCAATGTATTTGTAAGAGTAACAGTGTCAATGAATCTTTTTTCATTTGGAGTTTATTGTTATGGCTTTTAAACACAAAGAAAACTAGTTCTCGTATTGGTTACTGACATTGCCAACGCGCCAAAAAGGAGGAATTTTTTTAAATAGATCTTTTTATCAATACGGCCGCCATCTTGAAATTTTATTAGTTTAAGTATCGATTAAGAAACTTTTGGATGCCCAGCAGGCGCTAAACAAGACATTTATTTCACGAGAAAGTTGCGCTAAGATCCTTATAGCCCATTAGCCAATCGCAGTACAGAATAGCGTATTACCAACAATTCAGTGCGTGGGGGCGAAAGAACAATTTTCGAATCAAGATTCCACAATGTGCTTGAGAAACGCATGTGTTGCAAAGAAGATCAATGAAAGTTTGAAATGCGGAAAGCTTCGACGTGTAACTCCGCCTTAGGTAAGGACGGGTCTCTCAATAATTCAAGTGGACAACTTCACCTTCTTAAAGGATTTGGAGCCAAACAAAGAGATTGAAACTAGATAAGAAAATCTATTGTTTAACCAATCACAATCACAGTTAATGCTTCTAAGAAACTGAAGAACTTCCGTCGCTTATTATCTAGAAAGACTGCCTACGCCTGGTTTGTGCTCTGCTTTTGCCAAACTGCACGTTTTTTTATATTCATCACAAAACAAAATTATCATATTTTATGCTCGCCGTACTATATATAAACACATTGTATTGTGAGACTGAACGTTTGACTGCGGTTTCTCTTTGCTTGCATCAAATGATACAACTCAATTACATAGAAAGAAGTACACCATTTTGGCTATTATCATTATCAATATGAATAATGCAAACTGAACTTCAATCATAAACCATTTCTAGTTGGTTGGGATCAATTTTGGCAATCGAGAAATCATCGTGGAAATTAGGCTTTCGTTTGCATAAATACAGCCAAAAAATACTATAAATACTTCTTGCCGTTTTTTGAAGTATATATAATAATGACTAAAACTTAAAACATAAAACTGATATAAATATCAATTGCAATGCGATTCGTTTAGATAGGCCAATGATACTAATGCTGATAATTTCTTTGTTATGCTGTGAAAAACTGAGTTGACACGTTAGATTGTATTACTGTGTGATTTTTTTAATGGTATTTATTTTTCAGAATGTCGAAAACTGCTCTGACAATACTGAAAGAACTAACCTGTGAGCTCCATGAAATACATTTTTCCCCCATGAGAAAACTGCGTTGATGTAGAGATGTGTACAACTGCTATACTCTTTTGACACCAATTGTGATCCATGTGTCATAAAAAGTGCGAGAAATGATCAGTACGCATGCTTAGTACTAATGCTCCAGGTGCTAATGTGATTGACAATTGTTTATTTTGCGTGTGAACACTTTTGACATTATCTTACTATAGATATATATTTATTTTAATTCTATAATGGTAAGCGCTTTTACGTTTTTTGGTGGAAACTTGTGGCTAATAATGAAATTATTACATTAGTTTAATTTTGCTAACTTTTGGAACAAAATAATGTAAATCTGGCTATATTGATACTGATTTTTTTTATTTATTTAGTCAATTGAACAATTCCGAGGAAAATGAAAATTTCTGTCAGTACACTTTGGTAGTTTTACGTCAAGCCATTATTATCGTACGACCGTCATTTACTAATCATGGCTATTAGATATATAACTATAATCCTTTTGGCAAATCATCAAGGACTAATAATAATCAACCTCACTACCTATTCTATTAAACTTTTTTGCGAAGCTCATTTGACAAAACTGACAAAGGGGTACTTAGACCATTTTGACTTTGCGCAAGCAATTCATTTGGGGACGGGGATCAGATTTTTTACTGTTTTTTCAACGTATTATCTTGATTTAAGTCTCTTTTTTTCCTATAGCAAATTTAGTTAGTTCATTAAAATTCCGTCTTACAGGGTAGGGTATCTCGTGACCAAAATATCAGGCTCTGCATTTTCTAAATTGTTTTCAACTGCATTTAACTTAAATTGAATAGCCTGAAATAATTCTGTGTTCAGCCTCAAGATAGGATGTATAAGAATACCCCCTACTCAATGTGTATACGTGCCCGTGTAGCTATGTGTCGAGACTTCGTTTTCCTACTCTAACTGTGTTTTGTAATTATTGAAGTTCACAAAATAAACAAAATGTCAGTTTCAGGGGCTAATGGGATGTCAACGACACCTGTCAAGTCAAGTCGGTGCCAGCTTTTTACGAGTTGGGCAACGCAACTTGAATATTTTCATTTAAATTAAGAGTTGATCTTTCATTGCACGAAATAATTCAAACTTATACAGGCTAAATCAATTCGCAATTATGATCGATATTATATTGTGAACAAATAGGGACATTTAGTGAGGCAACTGGCCCGGGAATTAAGAAAATTAATATGTAGATGCCTTGTTTACTCGCGCCGTGTATATATAGGTACACTGGTGTAAGAACTCAAGAATTAAGATAAAGGTGTTAGATGAAATCTTTAGAAATTCATACCTCATGATCTCACCTCCAAAGTAAGAACAACAACACCTTTTTTTGTAAAAGCTGGTTCACACTTATCGTAAAACTCCTAAAAATCGTGGATTCTGGCTTATCCCCCCATTCTTCTGTTCATCGCGACATTTGTGTAATTATCCCTGCTGTTGCGAATGTCGTGACGTCGATTATAACTCGAACCGTGTAGCTTTTCTATTTTTATGATCAATCCCACAATGAACCCATGTCCCAGCGGGATTATTTTATAAAATGTGAACCGGTGGAGGGAGACCTAGGAGGAATTCGATGTAGTTTCCAGTCCTTAAGCTCCATTCTCAAATTTCAACATGGCGGATTTATAATTAGTCGGCGACTTTTGCGAAAACGTGAACCCGTTTGCCTTGAAGGATCTTAAATATCCCTAGCATCACTAATCCCTGATTCCTAAGGTTTAGTACAGGAAAAAAGCAGTCATGTTGTAAATTCAAACATTCAAGAGAACATTTGATGTGATTTATAGATAAAATATATATAACGCGCGCGTTTCTGATCTCTAAAACTGACAACTTTAAGCAAGAAAGAGGTTATGAAGGTCCAGAGGAATTATCAAAAAACCTCATAAAGTGGAACGTTTTGCGAGCTCTTGTCGTTAATCGCACTGGAATACCTGTCTGAGTTACAGCTTTACTATACAATGCTTATATCTGAGTTATGATGCTAACCTGCAAATCGGCTAAGTTTGAAATTTCTGAAGTCGACCTCTGTTTACCTTCCAACTCAAACAGAAGGAACGTGCTACTACTCTCACTTCAGTTTGATACCGACGCTGTGGTGATCCATTCCTGTTCATTGGAATATTTGACTGTCAATTTTGCCCGACCAGCTGTCGAATCCGATCATCAATTCATTTTTCACGTGTTTCAAGCTTTTATGCCTTTAAGTAGGAATCATGGCAGGATAGAGATGGAAACGAGATCTAATGAATCGTAAACCCGTGTAAATGCGGATTATAAGTAACTCTAGGCTACTAGCCATTAATAACCACATTAAATATACTTTAGCTCAGGAAAAATCTAATGTAGTCAGCATTTGCGCAAGGTCAGAGAGGAGATAGTAGTAAAAGGTGTATTAACGATAAAGTTGGTATAGCAGTAGTAGTTAGAATACAGTATTATTGTATTATTCAGTTTGAAATTTGTACCATTAAAATTAGAAAAAAATCCTTCAGGCACTGCATGTCTTTGATTATGATGAGTAGAATTTTATGCCGGAAAATTCTTGCACAGTGCTTCACGGGTCTTATGCTGATAATGATATCGTTGACGATGATGGCAATGATGATGAAAATAAATGACAATGTAAAATGAAGCAGAAATATAGTTCAAGGCGGTAATTTAATCATGGATGATGAAATGATAGTTCGAACTGCGGTGAATAAAATGAGTAGGAAATATTGATCGATGTAGTGAAATTATAATAATCTTAGGGATTATTAATAAAAGGATCGCCCGGGATTTAACGGGAATCGAACCAATAACTTCTCTGCATCTCTGCAATGCCGATCGATGCAGTGCTGATGCAGTGCTCTTCCAACTAGCTAAGTTAATAGCTTGTAATAGTTGCTAGAGAACTGCAACGGCATCGCAAAGGTCATTGTTTGATTCCCGCGTTGACGTCCGATTTTTTTTCTTTCGATCCATTTATTAAAAATCGATCAAATTATTATAATTTCACTGCGACGATCAATATGACTTACTCATTAATAATGGATAGTGATTAGCTGATAAGCTTTTTCCAACGTCTTTCAGTTCAACTTGAGCAATCAGTACATGATGAGCTTTGACAGAAACTATGATCAGCAGTGCATATATTTAGCCAAATTGCAAGAAACTTCCGTAAGGGGTTAAAGTTGGTTATTGCGGCATATGCTTTTAGCGATGTTGATACTTTAATGCACTTTTTTGCTTGCTTGAAATTGTTTTATTGACTGATACTCATTATAACAAGCCGTCGGTTCCTTTTCATAGCTTTCTCATAAATCTCATGATTAAGACGTTACACAATTTTAACTGATATGCCAATATTTTTTTAGATCTCACCTTCAAAAAAAAGATGTCAATTGTATTCATGAACTTCAAAAGATAGCATCAAATATCAGTGTTCACTGATTTCGTCAAGTGTTCTTCATCGGTTCACTCCAATATCATCAAAATAAAAGCGGCAAATACCACTTTCCCAAGTGCTAATAATCAGCCATAAAATACTAGTAGGTGCTTTGTTATCACTCGATTTGAAATGCATTAAAGTAGTTAAATGTTTTTAAACTGGGCGTTAACGGTGAAAATAGATTGTATGGCCAAATGTAGGTTTTTGCGCATCAGAATCGATCAGGTAAAGTGGAATGTATGAAAGGCCGGTCTACCATGTTGTTGACAGCGGCATACTATATGCTTGTGCCATGATTGCCTCAATGTTTTCATAACAGCCCCAGGTGCAACTTTCAAATTAAGAATTTTTTACCTATAATTTCTATGAAATGTCAATAAAAAGATATCATGGGAAGAGGTCTATAGTCTTCTATAGACTATGTAGTGCCAACGTAGTTACTAAGCCTAAAGGAAATATATTGAATTTATACATTTGACATCCTTTTTTTTAACTGCGTCTTTCAAAAGATAGCAAATGTAAGCTAATATGGACCGGCAATGTCTCGCAGTGACAAACTATTGTTACACATGATCACCTAGAAGTTTTCTATGCTTCTATGAGGCTAGTGTTTCTTTAGGTACTTACCGACGCCGCACTGTGTGGTAACTTTAGCTGTTTTAGACAATGTGTGGACCTTTTACACGTGCGTCGTATATCACGGGTATGGCAATCTAGTCAAAGATAATCAATCACGTACGTGTAGCATGGAAAAATCTGATCCGTATATGAATATTTAACTGGAAATCAATGCGAGAGATTTTCAAAATTTCATAGTGGTTTAAGTCTACAAGGTAAAGTGGCTTTGCCTTTTGTTCACAGAATAGATGTAAGTTTTGATTGATGTCAATTTAACGTTATTGACGTTGGTATAGCAACGTGAAAGTGGTTGGAAGAGTTTTCTTCGAAATATTTCCCGTTTTTGACGAGCCTGGTGTTTTATTGGATCTGAACGTATTATAGTTATAGTTAGCATAAGTTTGATTAAAGAGCGGATTATCATTTGCAAACTGAAATTTCAAAAACAAGATAATTTATAGTACGAAACTAATTATTTTGAATTGGTTTCTCATTTTAATTTTCATTAAATTTGAAAGTAAAGTATAATATTTTAAGTTCTTATGATTCTCATCATAAAATGATGTACCAGTATATTAAATTAAGTTAAATTGGATGTAAACGCCTTTCTATCATCAAGAAAAAAAGAAAAAAAATTGAGTACAAACTAGAACTACTAAAACTTTTAGTAGTGATTTGTTGTTGTATCACTGACTGCTCACTCGCATTTCCATCTTTATGAAAAATCACGGTAGCTGAAGTTTGGGGAAGGAGGCTTTACACGTTTTTTTCTTCCAATCATTTATCAAATTTTCTAGGGAGGGGACAAGGGACAAGGGTACGTGTTTCCCCTCTCTCATCCTTACGCTAGTGCTACTTATGAATTTCATTATACAACGTTTCATCCAAACTTAGTCGATTCAGTGAAAACGCAGAAATTATCGAGATTCATTCTTTTTATTTTTATATCGTATATCTATTGTTACCATGAACGTTTGTTGTTTAACTTACGTTTCGAGCATCTATGACGTCAGAGTCATTATCATAAGTGTTAAAGAAGTAAAGACAATGAGAACTCACTTGCGATTTCTTAAAAATGTCGAACTGTTGCAAAATGGACCATCGTCGCTTACAAAAGACATCAGAACATCATCATGCTTTGCTACTTTCAATATCAAAATGCTATTTTGGTACCTTTATTAATGAAATGCATTTCTAAATCTAAATTGAAAGTGCTTGTCATTGACTACCTATATATTCCGTCTCGTGATCCTGTCTCTTGAGGATTATTCGGTTTGTAAGTGGCTTATGACATCATCAGAGGTACATTCTCATTGAGACACTTCCTTTATTATACTATGACCATCCTCAATGAAAAAAAACGCTATCATTTGTATTGGAAGTTTAAAAAAAGTCGGACATGTCGTATGACGTCATGTTTTGACCGATTGGGCATTTTATTGGCTAAGTTCAGTAATTGTCTCATGATAAACTCCCCCCTCCCCTCCCCCTCCCCCCTCCCCTAGAGTCTCCACGCAGGCTATAAACTTAAGTGTTCAGTTTACAACATGTAAAAAAACGCGAATGAACATCGACATGGACACTTAACTCTGCTCAAACAGATGAAAACGTCGACGATCTCTCGTTTTGTACACTCCTTTCGCAGCCGTTACGAGGCTTGTTCCCAGGTCACTCTCCACTAGTGGGAGAGACTTGGGAATGAACCTTGTAACGGCTGCGAGAGAAGACTACTCGTTTTGATCAGTACCTTTAAATTAATCCCAAGATTCGGGCTGAGTAGACCTTATTATACATACTGACAGTCACCATCTTGAGTCACGAAGAAATTAAACAATTAAATAAATAACCTTCGAGTTCAAATAGCCAATTTCTAAGAGGTGCTGAACATACCGGGTGCTAGTGAAGACTGAGTCGCCCCAGGGCATTGTTTGATTTTTTAAGAAACGCCCTGCTGTGCATAGCAGCAGTTTACCTATAGTCATACACAGGGGACCCAGGCTCAACAGTTGTGTTGCTTTCACGGCGGTGTCAAAGTATTAATTGCGGGGTTCGCGGTTCGAGCCCTCATGAAGCCATAAATTTTTTCGACTTCACTTCTTGAGACTTTTCAAGATTTTCTCTTTCTTTTCTTTTTTCTTTAATAATTATAAACAGTTTTATGAATAAAGATTGATTTTTAAAGCCATTTTTATATTTTCCCCCCCTCGTAAATAAAAATATAAGTTTAGATGAAACGTTTTTAAATGAAATTAATAAGTAGCAATAGCGTAAGGCAACCTCGTACCCAGGGCTTGCTCTTCCTCGCTTACAAAATGGCGGACGCTCCCGAGCGTAAGGATGAGAGAGGGAAAGCACGTACCCTTGTCCCTTGTCCCCTCCCTAGAAAATTTGATAAATGATTGGAAGAAACAAATGTGTAAAGCCTCCTTCCCCAAACTTCAGCTACCGTGATTTTTCATAAAGATGGAAGTGCGAAAAAATTTATGGCTTCATGAGGGCTCGAACCGCGAACCCTGCAATTAATACTTTGACACCGCCGTGAAAGCAACACAACTGTTGAGCCTGGGCCCCCTGAGGTCATATAGAGCAGACCAATTCATTTATTAATTTATTGTACTTATGATATTTTTTCTTTTTTTTTGGCATTTTGGATACATCGATGACTATAAAAAGTTGACAAGTGAAAAGAAAAAGTGAGCTTCTTTATATAATTACTAATATAAAATATCGCTAAACAAGTGACGCTAATATAACCTCTTAAAATTTGTCGTTTGTCGAAATGTTTATAACATAGAGAATAATGTCTTCCGGCCGTGGCAAAGAAAGTTACCGAAGCTGCCAATCAGAAAACAAAAATCTGGTTAACGAGTCACTTATGGACATTGATGATTATGATGGATCGATCTGTAGTTTTCACAAATTCAATGTATTTTTAACGTCAACAGAGGACTGTGCTTGTTGCAACAGGTGGCTGTAAATTCACAACGACACGATGCTGACAGTGTGAAAGTCGACGTACGCTACATGTCATCTGGTTTATGAGATTAATAAAATTAACTTATATTTTCTGTTGAATGTTGAAACAAGGAGCTCAAAACAAATTATTTTGTTTTGAATGACAAGTTGAATTATAAATGGCTCAGCGAGTCAGTATTAAATAGTCACTTCGATCTCGACTCTGAATTTATTAATTGAACGTCGTCCGTTACCAGTTGCACTATTCACCTAAGCATGCGGAAAATAAAAATAAAAAGAGGCTAAACCAAAACCGTTTTAAACATTTTATAAAATGCAATAGAACGTCATATTTTCATGGCAAAAAATAAATCAACTCTTGCAGAATAATGGAAAGGGAGTAAAGCTGGAAACGAAATTGTAAAGATCTGTTTTAAAACGAGAAAAATGACATGAAAGGGAGACGGAAGAGGAAACATATGTAAAGTGATCGATATAGACGTGTATGTTGTGGCGATTGATAGTCCCTTAATAAATTTACCTTAAAATAAGCTTATATATATAATGATGAAGTTTTATATGTATAATGATGTATAAATAATAAACGTTAAACTTTAGAGCTTGTCAATACTTTTTTCCGCCAATATGAAGAAAAGCAAGATACCTTTCCTGCTTTATTACTAGGCAAACATCGGTTTACGGCGTTTGTTTTCATTGAAAAGGAAGTTTATACCTCCTTCTCCTACGCCAAACCCTCAAGGACTCCGTGACAAGTGTTTTGTTAAAAAGAACAAGTATACGAATTCTAATGGGAATCTTTCGATAACTGAAACAAATGCGAAAATAACTTATAGAAATATACATAAAATTAAAGGAAAAAAAATGATTTTATAGCACTGAAAATGGAAACACACAATAATTGACCTCTTATATTGGATTCAACATTATTTAATTATGAAACGTTCTAAGACTATATCTAATAACGAACGATTACACGAATAGCTCAAATACATGTACAATGGCAATTTCCCACAGGCTAGCTCCATCTGTTCTGTTTTTCAAAAGAATTAATCGACATAAAGGTTGACTGAAATCATCGAGAGAAATAAAAAGCAAGAAGTAAAACAGGTATACAATTTCATCCAGGATTACGGCTGGGGAAATACAGAGTTCAGTTAATATTTTTGAAAAGTACTAGAGACTATATTCTCATTATAAGGCTTCTAGTGAATCAGTCAATGTCTACTGATCATTGGTCAATTCAAATAACTGACACAACGATAGTAACTAGAACAGTGAAGCTTCCTCAGTAATTAGTTAAAGACAGAAGATCTGTTTGCGAATTATGATCACGTAACGCCAACAAGAAAATGAAATGATTGTAAACTTTTTAGAAAAAGAAAGAAATAGACTTACCATAATTTGGGTAAACGAATCGGAGCTCCATTCAAGCTAAAGTCGCCTTTAGTTGTTCAGTAAATCTCAATTGGTGGAGATTTTATGTAAATAAGTATTTAATCAAATCAGGTCTTGGTGTCAGAAAGTCGGGAATTCAGGTGGATCAATAAAGCTGGAAGTAACAATGTCATATTAAATCAATACACGGGACGCCAAATTAAAACTCAAGCCTAAAATTGATGATAAGAGTATTTGTATCGGTTACTCACATGGGCGAGGTGAGGTAAATCGATGCCGGGGGTTGCCGGGGGTTGCCGATGGTCACGTGGTGGATCGGTTTGACCTTGCATTTCACTCAAATTATATATATAAGTAGAATGAAATAGAAAAAAACGCCAACTAGAAGCTATAATAACTCTGTTTATTGGACGTTTGGGCACTTCGGCCTTCTTCAGAAGAAAAAGAAAAAAGGCACACAACACAACCTGCAACTAGTATTTCTACTCGCTCAATTTACAAAACTTGAATTGAAAGTGCAAGCTTATACTAAATACGTGTACATTAAGTGATTTAGTGCCTTGAATACAATTGATACATACACATTACTACGTTTCTAACAAAATCAAACTTGTGACAACGTACAGGTGCCAACTTTGCATATTTGACACCTTTATTTTTGTTCTTTACGTTTTCTGATGAGGAATGATCACTCAAGGAGACCAAATACATCTTAATTTTTGAAATTGCAACAGAGTCAACAGAGAACCGTTGCTGACCATCGCTGTTTTTGTTGTTGGTGGTGATGTTGTTGTTATTGCTGTTGCTCCGACAGTGGTAGATCCAGGGGTAGAAAACGGGGTCAAATGCACCCGTTTTAAGATAAGTTTCATAATTTCATTCAAACGAACAGCACTCTTATAGTAGAAAAAGAAAAAAAGTGGAATAACCTGTTTGAAAAAAAATCCTACATTTTTGTTGATGTTGTTGTTGCTGCTGCTGTTGTCGTTATGGAATTATAATTATTGCTACAATGCTCCCTTGATGGTGCGAAAGAAATGGTATTCCTTCAAAGTTACAGAATGAGATTATTAGTGATTTCCGTTGCTGAATTGAGATAAGTGGAAAACAACGACCACGAAGAAGAAGAAGGAAGAAGAAGAGGAAGGAAAACAGAAAGTGTACACAAATGCCAAAGCTATCTTATAAATGTTAAAACTACGCATATGGCTACATTTATATATATATGCGTAATCGTGTACTCGGACATCTATAAAATCCCGATGTCTTGTTATGTGCTGTTCCACAAATACAACACTGGTACTACTTTGGATATTTGACACCCTCATTTATGCTGTACACGTTGCCTGACATGCACTGATCACTCAAGTTGACCAAATCTTAAATACAGCTGATTTTTTAAAATTGCAGCAGCGAAATGTTGGTAAACATAGTATTGTTACTGCTGGTTGTCTGATCTTTGGACACCTTTTTTGTGGAATTGGAATGATTGGTACAACATGCACGGAATACATTGCTTTGAGAATTCTGCTTTTAAGCAGCATGGATGAAATGGTGTTCTTTAAGTTCCGGAATGGTAATGTAGTAATTTCCGCGTTGCGAAATACAGAGTAAATAAAAAACGACGAGATCTAAGAAAATAAGCCTTAAGAAAAAAAGAAAGGAAAAAAATAGAAGAAAAAATAATAGCCAACACTAACGTCTAAATTTCAATCTTTAAATGTGAGGACTTACTTTGTTGTCATACTCGATCTTGATATGGAGATCTGTACGTCAACTATGATACCAAAGTGCCTTATATATTAGCCGATATCTAGCGTTTTGTTGCTCCACCTTGTTTGCCTTTGTTTATTTGTTTTTATTTTTGTTTGCTTCTACCTTGTTTTTTATTTACACAAGACGTTGACATAGAGACAACACGATTGATGTGTAAATGTTTTCGTAATGAAAATCGAAAATACGGTTCTTCGGGGGTCACGTAACTGTATGTGAAACAGTTCACGAATTTTTACCACTATATAACCTTACACTCTCTCTATATTGCTAAAGCAAATAAATAGCATACCTTGGCAAATACATTTAGTAAACGCTTTTGGCATCCGGTTAAAAAGAACTCTTTCAAGTTGTCAGGTGTAGGTTATTTCCTTAAGTATACATCCATATCAAAACAGCAGTTTTGTTTACTATAGAACACAAATTATTAGCACTTGGTCCCTTTGCCTGTAGGGATGTATTTTTGTTGTTTTAGCCCTCACAGCCTATGCATTGCTCAAAGTCGTAGAAAATTTCAAGGGACGTTAGCGGAAAGCGAAAAGGACCTGAAGGAAGGAAGGAACGACGAGAAATAGATAGTAACAAGATACTAAGTGAAAGTGAACAATGAGGGGACGAAAATAAAGGATGCATTTATCAAATAAGAAAAATATAGAAGTGAACTCGGGAAAGAACACTGTTTCTCACCAACTGAGTAGCTTTAAAGCGATACATATAATACGCTGATTCCATGCAGTGCTTTGAGTCTTTTGCGTCAAACTTTGTGAATAGCTGTATATTATCGGAAATCTTTATTTGGTTACAAGCAATTACTACTGATGTTATGAAAATCCGGTACTCTATACTCTTTCTTTAGTCTTTAATTATTTTACGCAATCCAATTCAGAAGGCAGTTGGAAGTCTGGCCAGGTTTCTGGACATCAGACCGCAGATAAATTAGATAACAACAGGGCTGTTTTAAAATATCTGTATAAAGATAATCATTTGGCGTACTGAAATCCCCGTGTGTATTTAAATGCTAAATAGAAAATAACAATGGTTCATTACAAATATGAAAACTGAACGGATATTGGAATCGAAATTGCTCAGGAATACGTCAAGTAATTAGAGTTGAAGTTAGCAATTTTAGCAATTTTTTTGAAATTTATTTTATGTACACGTATCTATATTCATAAAGTTTCAAGTGTTTTTGAAAACTTAACATTTCTTCAGGCGGTAAACAGCGCTGTTTTCTTTCCTCGGAGCCTGCAGTAAGGACGCCAAGACGACAATTAAATATAATCAGATAATGTTTAACGACATTGGTACTCGCAAAAAAACCCTGCTATTTTTTTTACTAAAGATTAATATTGATATAGCATATTTTAGTGATGTATCTTTCTGAAATTCAATGTACTTCAATCAATTATGGTTTGCCAAAAATATCAATGTTATAAAATCTTTATTAAAGAAATGCTTACCTTTAAGGTTTTAAGTTTGAATATGAATGTTATCTTGAAAGGAAGATTTAAGACGACTCTACAGGACGGACGGCATATCCCAAAGTCTTATCAAAGTCGATTTGCGCATTTAGCACAAACAAACAAGCAACATGATGAGCTCTTAACTCTTGTCCAATATATAATCACCAAAGTAGTTTTAAAGCGATGCAATTACCACTCATGTCACGTGCTGTTAGTAAGGTGAAATATTTCCATACAAAAGGTGAGACTTTAATATTTTTGACACCGTGCTTCGTTAAAATATTCACCTCGGTATTTCTTTTTATTTAATTTCCTAAAATACATCATCAAATATTTGCCTTTAAGACGGGTATGAACACAGAGGACACCGATGTTACTATAGTATACATTATGTGTACGGTAAAGTATTTCAGTGTCGAAAAATGGGCTTGACCCACTACTGAAATTACCACACGCTGTTTCGAATGATTTATATCGACTACGTCATTTGTCATTAACTCGTTAAATAATTTTCCGAATGCTATTTTTGAAATTAACGTAAGCCACTGAATTAATTAAAAAACGCCTCGAATAATCAATTGGAAATACCGCAAACATACATACAAAGCATACACAAAGTGTGATGGTGAAAGTACAATTTTTCAGGAAATACCAAAAAAAGAGTCACGGGTTTCTTAAATTACAAGGAACTAATAGTCAAACTGGACTGTTTTGATACGATAGTTTACTTGATAAAAACTGTGTAAATCGTGTGTTGTTGTTTCACCAGTGATCTAAGCAAGTTTATAAGAAGTAATATTATACTAATAATAATGGATACCGATCGATGGTAATAACTATAATCAGTAATAATAATTATGATAATCATCATACCATCATCAAAATTTCGATCTTTATGACAATGAGTAATCAATTCCTTCATATTTCTATTCCCGCTTAGATCAAAACTCAATCATGGTTACTGTTTCGTTACTGCCATTATTGGAAGTCGGGGCTCTACACGGCTATATGAACAATGATTTTGAGAATTAGTAATATACATGAAAAATTGCAAAATAGCCAATATATCATAGTTCTGCACTCACAAAGCAAATATTGGGACTCCATTAAAAAAAGAATCTATGTAAATTAAAAATTCCATATGATATTTGAAATTGCATTTGGGGTTTCACTAAAAATACTACTTTAATTACTACATACAAGCAACTAAATTGATTCTACTTTTTCAAATCACTCGGGCTGCTTTTTAACAATAGCCATGCAAAAATATCTTATTGCGGGTGGTTTTTCAAGTGAAACCATAACGTTATATATTTTTTAAATAGTTCATAACTGTTCTACTGATGGATTCTGATTCCGCGAACTTATACTATGTGAACTTACTGAGATGAATCGACATGAGATGAATCGACAAACAGTGAGGTATTATTATTAAATATCCAGTTGTCATCAAATAGGTTTTTTCAGTGGTCTTTGATTAAAACTGATAATGAACTCCTTACCAATACTGACCTTACCATTGGATATTTCTAATGAAGAAGCCATGATGTGCGGACTCAAAGGGAGAACGAACAGGAAGAAAACTGACTGTGATCAACTCTACTTGTCATTTATACTTCCTAAACACCTGCCGATCTCCAGATTGGAGTTCATGACTAAAATAATCTTCCACAATTATTCATTAAGAAATAAGTGATCCTCTAAAACAGTTTTTGCTTCGGGAACAAAAGTAGATATTTTCTGCTGATCCAGTTTATTTTTACTCCACTTTAAGAAAATTAGATTTAGAGATTGTGAGCATAGTAAAAGACATCCATCCTCTTTCTTCCTTTTTAATTGTGTTCTTTCTCTGCCCATCAAAGGGTTAGCCCTTTCAACCAAAGCGACAGCAACATATAACAAATTCATGCATGTTTCACATTCGTCGAAAATCTTTCAATAGACTTGAATGAGACCGTTTAAAGTTTTGCAATCTTCCAGCTTTTGTTATTTTAAGGACCCACGAATATATTGAAGTAAGATCAAACGTGAATTCGTTATGTCACGTGTCTTATAGATAAGTATTTATTAAAATTTTGTTGATAGTACCATGTACAATTTCGGTCAAACTCCGCACTATCTTTCTTTTGCTTAATCAACTGCTAACAAGGGGGAAGAGCCGGAAACCAAAGTCAGTACTTATTATAATGAATAACTAACGACTCTTAATCATGGGTAAAACTATGATGTAAAAAATGCTATATTACATCATAATGGGAAAACTGACAGTTTTGCTTATTATCGCTTCTTAAGTATGTGGATTCTCAACAAATGAACATTAACAAACAAACAACCGAGAAAAATTAAAGTCATGACAATCTGAAAGCGTGAACAATATCAATTATTGATTAATGAGTAAACTGATTGGCGACTTAAAGGTGCAATACACGTAATGTAATGAATGCTTTCATAAACCATTACCAAGGTCCTGAATATAATAAAACTATTGTTTGAACTAATAGTGATCGGATTTCAACTCTTTCTTGACCAAAAACGTGCACAATGTTTTTTGGCTCTTGAGTACAGGTTTTCCAAAAAGAAAAATAATTATTTAATATTTTTTATTATTACGAATTATTTTACTGAAGAGGTAATTTATCAAGTATGATTTGCGTGTCCGTAATCTTATCAACATGCTTTGGAACCCTGGCAATGCCGACGCCCTCGAAACTACGAAAGCTACTGAGAAAGTTCTGACTGTCAAGGGAGCTGGACTGATTGACTTCTGATTGACTTATAATTAAGGCCTGGACATGTTCGAAGAGAGCATACCAAGCAAAAGATAGGGTATTACACTCATCAGAAATAGAAATATTACCAGAGTACCTTTTAATGCGAATGTTACTGAATAAATTATCAATATACATTGAATAAAAACACCTTTGTGATTGAATGGTTAATAGGATAAAAAACAACAACAAAATGTCTGTTTTATGGTCATTTCAGTGGGATCACCTTGTCATTCTGTTTTTTCGTTGTGTTCCTTAATTTTTTTAAGCTCTTGGTTTATTTCTTCCTTCATCAAAGCAAATATTGACCTATAATCAATAATATCAATTGAATGTATTGCAAGTACAGTAGAAAAACTTCCTATATTATCATATAGAAATCACCATCTGCATGTTTCATAAATAACAATTTCGGGGACGAAGGAATAATATTGAACCAAGGAATAATGATTATGACTTACGTAGCCGTTTGTAGATCTTGTTTTGTCAAATCGTATTGTAACTTAACGGAAAGCTTTTCTGTAAAGTGTATTTTTTATATTTATTAGTCACGATATCGATTATTTTAGGCCTTTATCATTTAGTCTACATTTACTTTGAAAATGTCAGACTTCGGTTGTAAGACTTCCTTTCACTGTTGACAAGCGTACTTTAATTACTTAGTGAAGAATGATGAAAAAGTAAGAAGTGAAAGAAAAATGGAAGTAAGCAATAACGAGAAGTGGAGGGATTCGTTTCAAGTAAACAAGAGAAAAGGGAGAGAAGGAAAGGGAACTGGAAAGCAGTATTTCATCAAACTGACCTTTTATCTGGTCTCCTTCAATTTTCAGGTTTTCTAAATGATCATTAAGATCCTTTATTGCTGCAATGTGTTGATAAGCTGCGAATTTAATAACAAAGTCATTGAAGCCATAATCCAAAACGGATTAACGAGGATTTCCACATCGAAGTACTTACCTTCCGTTTTGTAATCACCTTCAGTTTCTTCCCATCGAGAAATTTCACTTTGCAAAGCTTCGTCTTTCTGAATTTATCAGCATAAAAAGAAAACACAAGTGAAAAGCTTTGTCACGTTTTTACAGCCAAATCAAGATTCTTCCGACTGTGCCACTAATGACTAAGCAATTGATTCTACACTATAATAGCTCCATAGCCTTCTGACAATAACCTCAGTGAATTCTACTCTGCAGGAATTCAAATATTCAGGAAAGTTCGTTGTTGTTTGTCAAGTGCAAAAATAATAGTTTTTACTTCAAGAAAACTAACTGGCTGTCATTCATTTCCAAAAAAACATTTGTGAATGCGGGGAGTACAGCGATGTATACATAGCTCCAGGCGATCAGCCGCACTCCAGCTTGGAGAAGGACATGGTTACTTTTACCTATTTGTTTATTAAAATTTCTGTCTGAAATACGTCTGACTGAAAGACACTAAAGCTTTGCTGAAAAGTAGAGATCACCGACTCGCATCTTTAAAAAAATGAATTCGATATGCCAATAAACATCAACGGGGGGTCACGAAATATAGTCAAAGCTTTTATGTTGAAAATGGCATAGTTTTTATCAGCCCTACTTTTTAATGTTATCGGATATTATTCGATGAATGTTGAAACTACTATATGGCGTATTCAGAATTTATTTGCACTTTTGAATTTTTTCCCAACGCCCCGGGCGCAAATAGCTTTGACATATTTACCTGTAACCGTATTCTTAATGGAATTTTCAGTTACTAATGTGTTGAGTGTGAACAAAACTGTCAATATGTCAAAGCTCAGTTTGCGCGAGAAAAATTGATAATCGCGGAACTAAGCGTTTACAATAAAGATACTGGTAAGCCTATCTACTAATATACTATACTATACTTACGTAATAATTTCTTGCATTTCTAAACTTCTCTGCCAAGTCTGAAAGTTGATCTTTTAAACTTTCGCTGTTAATGGGAAATGACTGAAAGTTCATCAAAAATACAGTTATACAATTCATACTTGTCTACACTTACGTTTCTTCAATTTGTTTTTGGTTCACGTCTTTGATACTCTGGTTAAGCTGTGAAATGACATAGCGTTTTTCTTCATTCAGCTGCTCCAGTCTATAAAATCCAGTTCCAATTTAAATAAGTCTGTCTTACCGGTAAGTGACAAGCTTTATAAGACAATGGCTTGTAAAAATGTAAATATTCCATTTCACTTCAATAATTCATTAATGCAGCTATTCAATATTCTATGTCAATTTAACAACAATATTTTGTTGAAAAGAAAAAGGAGAAGCAAAAAAGAAGAAAAACAGTTTAGTTTATATACAGGTGACTCGCACTGAAAAGTCACGTGATATTCTAAAAATAGCCGAATTCTCCTAGAATATTCATTGTAAATTGTCAGTTGTCACGCACAAGATTAGACTGATTCCATAAGTCGTAGTTTTCACTCCTCGGTGTTTTGGTTTGTCGCGAAGCTAGCGCCGAAAACTCTGACAGAGAGCAAACTGGGACCAACTTATGGAATCAGTCTAGCACAGAGGAGAAATAATTAAATAGATATAAGCTGCAATTATGTGAGTTTATATACGTCTGTTTTTTTGAATTTAGCATTTGTTGGAGATCGAGTTTCAACTCCCAACCGAAATGTTATTGTGGAAATAGTAAAGAAGGCGCTCAAATCTACTCTGGTCTGCGTCTCTCAAGCGTTCTGGTACACATATACCAAGTGCTTTGTAACGGACTCTTGTACTTCAATGTCCTGATGCTAGTATACAGGAGAAATAGGTCATGACTTACTTTTTAGCTTGCTCGCTTGTTCTACTCATCTTCTGCTTTGCAACATCTACATTGTCTATTCGCAAAGAAAAACTAAGATTTAAGGTTTGCAAATCACTATTTATTCACAGTATGAACCTTACCTTTCATTCGTATCATTCGTTCACCAGCTGTTATGCATTTAACGTGAGCTATTTGTGAAGATGAAATGACAAACTTAAGCTTACAACACTTGAATAAAGTCAAATATGAACGTCAAAACACAAAGTGTTTTGCTCGATAAGAGAACCAAATCATAACTAAAGTCCAATATTTGTGTGTTTCATACTAAACCTGCTTCAACCTGTTCTTCCAGTGCTTTGCACTTCCGTTTTTGCTCAGCCAGTCGACTTTCAAGAAGTTCTTTTTCTAAAAAAGGAGGACCCCATTAACTTAAGCTTAAGTAAAAAAACTTAAGCTTATCGTAAGCTTAGCAGTCCTCCCATTTAGTCTATGCTTCACAAGAATGTCTAATCTTTTGCTAACCTCGTTCGAGTTCTTTCAAACTATTGAATATGACGTCCACACGAAACTTTGGAGAATCGATACACGCCATTGTGAGGGAAAAGGAACTAAAGTGGTGAAATTTTTTGCTGGCCAGGTCTAGTTGTTGTTTTTTATTTCGACTGCGACGGTTTTCCCGCTCAAAATGACGCGCGCGGTCGCGCGCGCGCACTTTCGTTTTCCCGCCATTTCTTTCGAAGAGCGACGCAAATTACTTTCTTTCATAAAAAGTGACGTCAAAATGAAAAAATAATAATATTTTGGCGAATTTGGTTCGGATAGTTCGATCTATCTATGACATTCTCAAAATTTGTAGATAATCTATGTAGCATCCGGTAGTACAATGGTATTGGGCTCCCTGTGTTATTAGTGCGAGCCTGCATCTCAGCGGTATTACATTCTTAAATTCACCCACGTTTTAAAACTTGAAAAAGATTATCTGTATTTCTAGCTTAGTGTACGTCGATCACAATCTCTACAAATTTTTCGAATTATTATAAACATATTTGTATTTTCCGCCATGACAAATTCGTCTTGTATCCAAGAAATCGGAGAGCAACTGCTTGACTCTTCAAAGTAAGTAGTCATGAATGTTATGTCATACTTTTTTGGTAAAATAACCTTACAACACTATTTTCAGAGATTATTGTATGAAAGTCAAAGAATTTAGGTTAAGGTTATTTGCTTCCATTTACTTAGATCGCTAACAGATCGGTTTAGAGCTCTTTTTACCCTGAAAAACCTTGGTGGCAGCGAAGCCATTGATATAATAGCCAAAGGTAAGTGATGTAGACAGATATAAGTAAGTTAAGTTGTTATTTTTTTTATATTCTATATTTTATAGTAAGTCATATCTATTCTTATTGCATAGAAATAATGTGTGATTATGTAGTTAGGAAATCTTTGCAATCTTTGGTGTTTAAAACTTTGAAACTTTAGGGAAGGCAGAAAGTTGATTGGGGAAGTGCCAAGCTTTTTCTAGGGAAATTGGATTATGGAAAGCAGTAATGCAGTAACAAAGCACGGTCAAGCATGTTCTTCATTTTAATTTTTCCATTTATTCTTTGCAGGATTTTATGATCCCTCTGCTCTTCTCAAACATGAACTGGCTTATTGTTTAGGGCAAATGCAAGTATGGAAAATATGAATGTTTTCAAACATTGTCTGTTGACAATTTTTTGGACTGTATATCACTATTTAAAATTTTAAAATATGTTCAAAATAATGTTCTTTTTATTAGGACAAGTATGCAGTTCCTGTGCTTACAAAGTAAGTAAAAATAATGGTTATAAGCAACTGTTTTTTGGTATGGACTGGCATGGTTTAAGTAAATTATATTGTTATCATTGTCTCGAATCATAAATTTATCATACTACATAGAGTGAAAAAGCAAACAGTGAACTAGTTACTGGTAATGAGTGAGCACATAATTCTACAATACTGGATAAAAAATAGTGATTATTGATAATATTTCTGATAAAATTCTGAAGGGTTTTAGAAGATAAGAGTCAGGAGGCAATGGTTCGACATGAGGTATAGTGTATTTTTTCACTATTTATTTTAAATAAGAATTAGCATTTCAAATTTGTTGAAAAGGTTGGCAACCTTGACCAACGGTGGGTGCATCAATTCAAAGATATTCTTCAATTTAAAAAAAGTATGCACAAAAACTTTAATCAATTTTGGACACCCTTTCAATTGCTTGGGAACTAACTTTATATTATAGCATCAGAGTTAGTAGACTAACTCTGATAGCATTAAGATTTAGGGGATATTGGAACCAAATGACCCATTTCCACAAGTACTGTAATCATAAACATTGCAAATGGTTTAACATTTTGATTAATTGTTTTTTAGGCAGGAGAGGCGTTGGGTGCAATTGGTGCTTCAGAATCACTAGAAGTGTTGAGAAAGTTTGAAAATGACTCAATTCCTGAGGTACCAAAATAATTAAGCTGTCATCTTAAAAACTTCTGTGTATCCTTTCCCTTTGATATTCATTTATATTCTTTTTTCATTTTTTATTCTTTCCTTTCCTCTTATTTTCTGGGTTTTTTTTCCCTACTTTCTGTTGTTGTTTTTTTATTCCCTTTCATGCTTTAATGTTTAGCTTGGCTTTTTCTCATAGGTTTAATTTCCCACTCTTTCTTTTAAATTAACCATCCCTTTTCCTTTACTGTTACAATTTAAAAATATATCTAAAACCCTTAAATGTTACTAGGTTTCGGAAACCTGCCAACTAGCAATACAGAGAATTGAATGGCTGAACAACCGAAACACTTCTGAAGGAGACAAACTAAGGTAATTTTTTTGTGATTATCAAAAAAGTCTACTGGTTTCATTCTTTATGACTTTATGCCTGACAACTTATGCTATTTGGTCCCCAGTTCTAATCCTTACCATTCAGTTGATCCTGCACCACCATCACTTGACTTAGACATCCCTAGATTGAAGGGTGCCTTGCTTGATGAAAACCGTCCACTTTTTGAAAGATACAGGTATTGCGATATAACTTTGAAACCAAATTGGATTCATATATATTTAAAGTTTTATTTTGCATGATATGGTGATGGTTTATAACTTATAGTGCAGTGCCAGAACTTATTTGGGAATTTAAATTATAAGGCATTGATATTTGCAAGAATTGAACTTACAGTACTTTGTAGTTTTTAAACAATAAGGCCAAATTGATATGATTTGATGGATGGAAATAATCTGCTATGGTTTGATATTACCGTTTTTCCTTTACAGAGCCATGTTTTCACTGAGAAATACAGGAGGCAGAGATGCTGTGCTGGTATGATAACAATTCTCTGTGCTTGATACAGTCTAATATAGTTTTTTTTCGACACCTTGATTATATTAATTTATAATTTGTGGTTGTTGCATTCATTCTTCCATTCATTCAAGATTTTTTTCAGTAATTTTTTCTGATTTGTGCCTTTATTCCATAAACATTCAGCATTATGTTCTAATATTAATTCACTTTAATAATTCATGGACTAATTTATTTGTTTACTTATTCTTTCCATTTCATTTTCTCATTTACAATATAGGCTCTTGCTGAAGGTCTCAAATGTAAAAGTGCTCTTTTCAGACATGAAATAGGTAAAACAATATGATATGGTGTAGTGATTTGGACTCTCAATGGTCACTTCTTAACCATGGGCTTCCTGTGCTTGGGCTTTGCAGACTGGGGAGAGAGTGGGATGAGCTGACCCGTCTGTCTTGCGCATACAATTAATGTGTCATATCATGGGAAGGAGGAAGAAAAAATGAGAAGGAAGCTTAAATTGATGCATTGCAAGCAAAAAGGAAATAGAGATGACTAAGGACTAGTTAGGCTAGAAAGAAGAATATATCTGAAAAACAGGAATTTATGCGTTGTTGAATTAATTTGTCATTTTGTTTTTAGCTTACGTACTTGGACAAATGCAACATGAAGCTGCGATTGAACAACTCACGGTGGTAAGCATTTCGAATATTTGTTTTATCAAATGATTTATGCATTTTGCTTAGTGATAGTGATACTGGGTAAATATCCGCTCCCTGCATACGCCCCTCTGTTTTAAACACCTACCAGGCTCCTCGAGATGAACGACAGATTGCACTAGCAATGGTATAAGTCGTTTAGTTGATATATTTTTGATTTCCTAATTTCCCAGAATCTTGCCGACTCTGAAGAAAACCCTATGGTTCGGCATGAATGTGCAGAAGCGCTCGGCTCAATTGCAAAGGTATCTTAAAATACTGAATTTAAATAGCCAGTAATAGTCAAATCATACCCAAAAATATCTTTCTATTCAGGATAATTGTCTTAATATTCTGGAAAAGTACTCCTTGGATCATGAACGGGTCGTAAAGGTTAGTAAAAAGATGTATGTTAAGAAGTTTTTCACGGATAGTGTGAAGACTGCAATGCAACTCGACGATGACGCGCCATAGAATGCGCGGTTTTTTTTGGTGTCAGAAGTGCCTTTAGACAAATTACTTTCTTTAGACTCTTCTATTTATCAAAATTGTTATTTGATCTCGTCTTTTAGGAAAGTTGTATCGTCGCACTGGACATGCTGGAACACGAACAGAGTGATCAGTTCCAGTACGCTAACACCATGGCTGAAATGAAGCAAGCAGTACATCAAGAAACGTAAAAATCAAGAATTTATAAAATAGTATGATCAATAAATATTCCATCTAGAACAGACTTTGTGGTATTTCTTTGTTCTAACAACACTTTTCTTGCTATTATGTGTAATACGATTTACTTCCAGACTACCTTATCAAGGGGTCCCACAAAAGAGAATTTCAGCCTGTCACGTTGCAACTCTCGAGAAATTAGAGTCGTCACCAGTCATCTCTCTAAGAACAATTTTTCATTGGAAGGATGCAAACAAGAGATGTCATTCTCATCACGTGACAGACAAACCTCGCGCCCCCTTCATAGTCTTATTACCGAGGTTAGCCTCAACGTTCCCATGATGCATTGCGTACGTTTGGCAAGGAGTCCGTATCTTAGTCACCAGCGCAGCGCGTCAATTATCCGAGTCACGCAGACCGTTGCCAGGAGCGTTGCATCACGACACGGGCGGCTGCTAAATGAGGATTGAGTCATTGCAGAGCCCAACGAGCTATCTTTGAAAAGAAAAATACAAGGAAGACGCAACAAGCAATTTCTATATTTATTTACGTACTAAATCTAACCGCACTCCAATGAGACTAGATCAATCCCCGTGGAGGAATACGGCAAGGGAAATACAATTCAAAATGAATGTTCTCAGTAAATTTCCTGTCAAAGTTGCATTCGCGGCCTTCATTCATTGTCAGTAATGAAACTTGTATATTTGCACAGAGCAAAGGGTTCGCCCCAGTCTCGTACCTCGCACCTTCGCTTTTCTTAACCAGCGCTGTTGACGTTTGGCCGAGAAAACGGAGGCTCAGAGAACGAGATTGGTGACGCCCATACCGTATCTGGTAACACGGCTCATACAGTACCGCATATGATATTCACAGCTCTTCAATATTAATTATTATGGCTAAAAATTATTCTTACGACAAAAAAATACTTCAAATGTTGAGTCCGAAACGCGAGGACTGGTCTTTTTTGTAATAACGACGCATTTTCCTCTAATGACACCGTCTGAATTTTCCTTTGGAATGAAAGATTAATCTTTAGCCTAAAATATATTTTTTCCCCTTTTTTTAAAAGTCATTCAAAGAGAAGTCTTAAAAGTGACGTACAGGACAGACTTTGAAGTGGAAGGTCCGAAACTCAAAATATTTTCCCCCGCACACGAGGAGTATTTCGTCGCCGCCGATAGCGCGTCAAGTAGTGCGCATACTACACGGCAGCTCTTGATTCTTTTGGTTGATGGCGCTTTTAATGCACATACTGCCATCGATCAGTTTTTTGTTTGCCAATTTATAAAATCCATGGTGCCCAAAGTATTAATATTTCTCTTTGTGCCCCGACCATTTTCTTTTGACATTTTCAGCCAAGTCTGCAATAGTCGTAGTTTAGCAGGTCAGACATGAGTATTTTTGATTTGTCATTAGGTTCGGTCTGGCACGATGCACTATCGACTGTTAGCTTTGCAGGATGAGCAGGATCACGAAGAGTTATCGATTATCCGCGTGCCAGGAAGCATTTCCGATTAGTTGATTTATTGTCGACCAGTTATTGCTTGTCGTATTGAATCTTGCTGCATCTCATTCAGCTGCGAGAAATACGCATTAAACTTGTCCATCGTCTGTTGGTCAACAAAACAAGAACATGAATAGGGGAAAAGTAATGAAACAAACTGAATACTAATTTACAAACCTGCATCTGGGCTATAATTCTAAGAACTCTTTGTTTTGTTTCTTCGTCATCGCTTAATACTTCACACAGAAACACGTCTGCGAAAATCTGTAGTATTCTTGAGAGATTGCTGTAGTCTGATCCTAGTACCAACACGTTATTCCTAGTGTACAAACAACACTATAATCACATATTTTTGATGTGCACTTTTTTGGTGCGCCTGTTTGTGTTGTAATAGTTATGACGTTGTCATGATGATGATTATGACGATGATTATTAATATTACTATTGCTATGGTTACAAATAAACAACAAAGTGTTACAAAAAGTCAAGTAGACTGGCAAAATACAAAAAGACATAAAACCTATAAATACATGTAACTAAAGCCCGGGTCAAACGAGAATAATCTTTGATCACTTAGCACCATTGTTGGGCCATCCAACATTTTGCAACTCACATTTTGTCGGTTGGCCATCAAACAAATTGAGGGAACGTATAATTTTCGTTTGAGATAACAAACACAGGGAAAAAAGAAACAAGGTAGTACATACAACACATTAACATACAACAAATTGAACAAGTCACTCACCCCTCGATTAAGTCGCACAAATAGCCGTAAACATGAGTTGCTTCTTCTTTGTCCTCGATTATAGGTAGCCATGACAACCAAGTCGGAATAATCTCGTCGACATTGATGTTACCATGGTTATATTTGCATATTTTAGTCACCGCGGAAATGGCGTTTTCTGTCGCGTTGATGTTTTCTCGTGATCTTGCCTGTGGGTCGCTGATAACTCGTACGAGTAAAGGCAGAGCCTCTAGTATGACAGAACATAACTTCGTTGAGTAACTTCTCTAGCGAATAGACCTCTGAAGCGTTTACGTCATGAACTGTACATGCAATGCATTGTAGGATATGTTCGGGACAAAACATGGCGAATTAATTTTATCTTCTTTAGAAACTGATCCCACAATGCATTGAAAATCAAATAGTGACGTAAAAGGTTCAGAAGTCTATTATATCCGCTAAAAACCGATGATTAAGAGGAGGGAATAATGTCAAACAGAAGAAAAACAATGAGTGATGTTAATCCGGGGGGGGGGGGGGGACTCCCCTATATTCGCTATACGGGGACGTTTTCAGCGATTTTACTCTGAAACTGGGTATCGTTTTTAGCGATTTTACTCTGGAACAGGCTATCGATTTCAACGAATTTTCTCTGAAACAGGGTCAGGGTTTAATTCCGGAATTATTGATGCTGGGTAAAAATTCACGCTAGTGCTGGATTTTCTCTGAAACAGGATAGCGTTTTCAGCGATTTTACTCTGGAACAGGGTATAGTTTTCAGCGATTTTACTCTGGAACAGGATCAGGGTTTTGATGTCCCAGCGGCACACGCCCACCCAAGTTTGGAGGGAGGTACCCCCCCCAGCTATAATTATAGTTGAAAGACGAACCTGCACACGCTGGTGCGTAGTCTTTGGACGAGATAGGCATTATACCAACACCGTAACAGGCAGCCTAAAACAAACACGACATTTAATCAACAACATACTGGAGGCCACCCCGACTTAAATTGCAGCGTACCTGTCGAACTGCAGGACTTTTATCCACCGTAAAGTTCAACGTTGCTCTTAGAAAATACTCTTGATACTTGAACGATCCCTACACAAAACCGAATGTGTCAATTATATTACTACTTAGAACACATATTAGTTACATTAATTTTTTCCAGTTCGATTTGTAAGCAGCAAGCTGCAAGCTTTGCAGACCAAATATCTGTTACAAGTCTGTATAAAAGACGCATTTTTCTCTCAATCAATTTTCTACCTTTGTATATTACAAGTCTGTAAAAGACGCATTTTTCTCTCAATCAATTTTCTACCTTTGTATATTACAAGTCTGTAAAAGACGCATTTTTCTACCTTTGTATATTAAGTTATACAACAGTCATCTTACCAGTCCGTAGTATTCAATAACATCGTCAAAAACACACAACCCCCACTGCTTGTCTGCTTCTGATCGTTCAGGTGACTAAATAATAATCAAATATCAAGGAAAGTTTGTACCTATATCAATCAACGCGGATTATCAGGGAAGATGTGATGATGTTAATCACAAACCGCTATGTTACCATAATTGTTGAGCTTGTGTGAGGATGGTAAATGCCAAAGATTGGAATCAATGTGTGATTATACTTTGCTTTTGAAATTATGAAACTCAAGACCATTTTTCAACATGAACGTTATTGGCTGATGTTAGGAAAATGGACAGTTGTAAAAACGAGCAGATAATGATGATGATGACTTTCACGTGACAAAGACGATCATAAACATGGGGATACAGGTGGATTGGTGACAGACTCGCACCCAGTAGTTACTCTTTCTTTGCTAAGCTCGCCCTTCCCTTGATCCATTGCGCGCGGGTCCAAAAAGTGAGAGAATTGACTAGGTACGAGTGTAAAGTGCGAATCAATGACATGGAGTGAATGGAGATAGAGACTGGTGATGAATGGATGCCGATGACTGGCATCCTTACCATGCTGATGACAATGAATGACGAAGACTGACAGCTATAATATCATGATAATAAAGATTGACATAACTTACGATTAGGGCGTTGAAATCTGGTAAAAGTTGCTCAAAGAAGGGAACCGATGTTTCTTTATGTGTTCCTAATACAGCGTGCATAACATCTGCAACCTGGAATGAAATAACGCAAGATACGAGTCATCTATTAAGCGCAATAGACCCCTTGCAGTTCATGGGAATGCAGCTCCAACTGGAGGACAAAATAATGGATTCTAGTTCCCAAGAGGTTAAAAATCTTTTGTTTTGTCCTCCAGATGAAGCTGCTTTGACGTCACATGCAAGGGGTCTATACGGCCATTAACACAATTATGCAACAAAGAACATTCATTGTTGACAAATGATGTGTCCACATACCTTGCTTAATATTTCTACATCTGTTTCATTCTAGAAATACCAAATGCAATCATGTGAGATTATTGAAAATGTGGGAAAGGAACGCGTTTATATGAAGGTCTTCGTACTCACCTCATCTTGTAAATCTTGCTCAACTTCTTCGTCATAATCTTCATCTTTTCGTTTATCTGCGTACAGAGTAAAAAATAGACACTAAAAGACCACCTCTATATTTCGGACAGCGTCCTGCCACTCCGCACTATTCGGATAAGAGGAGGTTTCATTGTACTAACGCTTTACTATTATAGAACAGAAACATATTACGAAATAGGAGAAGCATACTTTGTCTTTCCATCTGTCTTTCCTTGTGAGCCGTCAGTATTTCATGGAGTACAGCGGACAGAAGGTTATAAAAATTTTCCGTTAGGCAGCCATTGCCGAGAGTTTCGACACATTTAGCAAAGTTCTCTAAAAATATAATCTGTATATCTGCATCAGGTTCCGAGCGTATGGCCTTTAACAGATCAGTACAGATATAGGCCCACATTTGCCGTACAGCGGCGTCTCCCTTGAATTTAGAACATTCCAATAAATATGGCAAAGACTCAGCAGCCGCTGACCGCACCAGTTCGTGGAAGTAGAATTTCAAAAGGGGAACCATCAACTGCACGACTTCGTCTGTATAAGGAGCAAAGCCGTCCTTGAGTTCTTTGGCGTAGAGAACTAACATTTGGCACGCTGTGCTCTTCTCCTCGAGACCAACCGTGTTGATGCCAAACTTTTGCTGTGTGTTACAAGAACAAGAAATGAATCAACTGATCAATCAAGTAATTAATTGATCAATCACTCAATCAATCACTCATACATCCAATCAATCAATCAATTATCAGTTTGACAGTCCATCCGTCCATTCAAGTCAATCAGTCAGTCCGTCCGTCCATCAGTGCGTCCATCCGTGAGGCAATCAATTCCTCCTTTAGGAGGAGCCGACGGGTTGCTGGGAGAAATATATCTGTTCTTATGTCCTAGCCAGATTAGGCCATAACTGGTTGCCAGCGAGAAATTCAGGACAAAAAGAACTCTCCAGGCAAGGAATACTTTCTATTAATTTTTGCCAGAAAATAAAAATTTCCTAACTAAGCCTTTTTGACCTTAAAAACGTGTGCCAGGAACAAATTATTTTAAAGAAGGAAGGGCGCCACATTTACTAGTCAAGATTGCCAACAATGTAGCTCAAAATCCTTTTCCCAGGAAAACATTCGTGCAAGAACAGTTATTTAGAAGAACAGACCCCTTTAGCTCCTCCTGCTCCTTGTCAGTCAGTCCGTTCAACTGTCAGTTACTCGATCAAGTTGTCCGTCCTTCCAAACTGAACCGCATATCAAACCAAATCAGTCAATGCAACAATCAATCATTTCATTATACCTGATCTCCAAGAGAAATAAGTTGCCAGCCTTCGTCCTCACTATACTGGTTACTTTTAGGATCATCAGCTGAATAAAAAAAGTGAATGAACAAACTGCGTATTTTAAGAGAGAAAGAGAGAGATAGGTGAGCATCAGTCGCCTTGACGAGGAACGCTTAAGAGAGAGCAAATTGTCTTGTTTCGATCACCTCGTCACCAGTCGAACCTGAATGTCATTCGCACTAACACTAACCAATGAACATTAACCCATCATATCGTAATGAAGACTTACAATCAATAATAGCCACTTCAGGTTTGATGCTGGCAACCTTCATTAGCGGTGGCATAACAAGAGGTAAGTATTGTGTAAACTCGGTTCCCATGATTTTACACATCCTGGCCCAGGCTGATATCATGTACGATACTTGCGGGTCATCTGCCTCCAGCTGATCCATATCAGTCTGGGTTTTCAGTAGGATTTGCATAATTTCACTAGCATCGGGAAGGAACTGAAAGAAAATGTATTAGGAAGAGACCATTAAATTAGTGATGTACACCATTGCATAAGGGATAGACCATTGGATTAGGGATAGACCACTGCATAAGGGACAGACCATTCGAGATAATTTAGGAGATATATTTTCTAGCCCAACCGATGTCTTTTTCAGCTTAGCGCGATTTTTTTCCTCTTTTGTGACCGCTTGAATGATTAGATTCGGGATCTTTGATTATCTGAAAATGAGGGTTGGCTTCAATGCTAGCTCAGAATCAAGCACGTTCCTTTTTCTTTTTTGACCTTATGCCGATTATGTAAGTCACAGGTTTTATGTTTGTGTTTTATTAGTTTGCTTATGCATCAAAGGACACCTAGTCGCGTTGCAATCCGAATTTTTTACCCGTAAATATGGACAGTGCGGGTAGTGCTTTATAGGTAGCTATATGTACGGTCCAGAACATTCAACATCTTGATAACATTAACAGGTAGTAACATCATGCTACAGGAAAGAAGAGTATGTTTTTCTTCCACATTAAGGTTATTAACATAAGTGTGGTTAAAAATACGATATGCTTGAGCATCCACCTGAGTTCTGAACATTTTCTGACGTCAAAAGTGCGTCAATAATGGATACAAAACAAAATCGTACGCTTTTTGTTAAATACTTAAGTGCATTAAGTTATATCAATGATTACAATGTTATCAGTGACCGGCAGTACGACGGGGTGGATAAAGCTACCACTCTATACATTTTCCATGGATTTCATCCGATGCATTAGGATTTATCCAGTAGATAGCACTTTTAACCCTTTGAACCGGCCCCTGCAGTAAAAGCTGTTTATCAAGCTGTGAAGCTTTTCTTCTGAGAAGCTAATTGATAATTGAGTGCAGAAAAAATCCCAAGAAATCGCCTTGAACTTGGAATTGAAACTGTACTACATCAGCGATGGAATAATAGATAATACTAGGGAAAATATAAAATGTGGGAAAAAGAAAACAAAAAATCTATAGTTGTATGTCTCGCTGACAACACTTTGAAACAAACCATCTTGTACCAAGAGATATTCAAAGAAAAAAAATAATGTAAAAAATATAAAGTAATGTTAATTTTATTGTTTAATTCTCATAATTGTTTGACAAAACATCCCAATGCATTTGGATTTTAACCGTTTTTCACCACTTTAACGTTAATACAAGTACACCGCGGAGAGCTTCAAGGGAAACATGGTTAAGAAGCATTACAACAGCGTAATCTTGGAAAATATAAGAACAAGTTAAGGAGAAACAAAAAATTGACGCTATGTCCAGCTGCGCGTGCCGTATAGATCTTGTTTAGTCACACGCAGTTCTGCAATCATCTAGGAAAATCACGTTAATCTTTGTTCGAGAATCGTCTGCATATTCACTAGAAATCACATCACAAACTGAGAACCACAGGGTGCTAGGTTACGATTACAGTCTCTACTGTTTCTGCTCGACGTCGGCTACTAACCATGCGATAACATATCCACCTGGAGACAATACTTCTCGAAACTTTGAAAACAGCTTTGCGAATGTCATGTACTCTCCAAAGACACAAAACGGAATTCATGAACGAGTTGAAGAGTGCAAAAAACACGGCTAAGTAATGGACAATGTAAAACGTTGTGTCGTTTAGTCCTTTGACAGAACAGTAAATAGATGATATGAGCAGGGGGGTGTAGCAAACTAACAGAATACTGACCACAAACACCATGGTTGTCAAAGTGCCCCGATAAACTTCGATGTTGGCGTGACCCCCATCTTCACACACCGACCGTCGACTGTTATTGGAAACATTGACTCGTGGATTAGGACTATAATTCCTTTCTCTATAGCTCCTAATCGCGTTATCGTTGATGGTGCTGTTGTTGTTGTTGTCGTAATTACTTTCATTCTGGTTGTAGTAGTTGCTGGTGGCAGTGATGATGTCAACAGCATCATCGTCAATGTTAGAGCTATTGGTATCGTCAATGGCAGCGTTTGAGCATTCTGCTACTCGATCTTCAGTACCACCATTTCTCGGCAGCCAGTGATTACTACTGATAGCTACTACGCTGACGCCGCGGCTTGCCGAGTCATTCTCAAAAACTTGGCCGTCATCACGAGGCGCTGGATGGTTTGCCGCTGTAACCGCTGACTCCCTTTCGTTCACGACACTCACGCGACTAATGTGTTGGGCTCGGGTTTTGTTATACCTGGATAGCTTATAATAAGCTTTTCCGTAAAAAATAATAATGAGTACCAGACACAAGAGTACCCATATTGAACACGCTCGACCCCAAGAGCGCACACCCGGTGTAACAAGGTAACAACCAACACCAACGAACGCCATAAACCAAAACATAATCACGACTTTAACAACACGTTCTATTGTAACTGTGGTGCGATATTTCAATCCTAACGATATCGCAAGGAAACGATCTATACTAATAGCAGTTCCATTTAGCAACGACACGCACCCCACCAGCAACATTACCGCAAGAGTCGGTTTAAACAACGCACAGCCAATGGAAATATTGTTGTAACTTTCCGAGAAATGTTTGAGGGCAAGCAGCGGGTGAACGAAAAGCCCGACGATTGTATCAGACATCGACATGTTTGCTAAGAACACATACGAAGGCAAGTGAAGAGAAGGTGTCTTTGATATTGCTAGCAGAAGAAGACAGTTAATAAGGGCTGTAGGAACAGAGGCGATAGAATGACACACGCCCAGCGCGAAATTCCCAGTGAACAGTTCGTGGTCTGATCCGTTGGTTAGTCTAAGTTTGATAAACTTGGGGCATTTGATCGCAGGGTAAAAGCTCATCATGCAGCAAGCGAAAACGTACAACACAAACTACGATAGCCACTTTCAGAACAACCATACACTTATGTATGTACTACGGTATTGAATTGATGGTTTCTATGAAAGATAAGAGACAATTTAACGACCCAATCATTGACACCCATGAACTATCAACAAGACCATCTGATATCAAAATCACTTACTTGGTAAAACCGAACGGTTTGTGTTCTTCATCTACAGACTTTTATGAGCTTTTTCAGCGATCTTAATCAAAATAAAACGACCCCTGGGTACCATTATCAATCAGTCTTTGGGTTTTGTGAAATTATCATTAACACCTGCAGCGTCACGTCTCAAATGAGAGAGTTATACAGACGATGGAAAATATGTCATGCACTATATATTAAACTATGGATTGAAAGCTATTGTGACAAGGCTAAAATGAAATCTTACAGCGGCAATCATTTGCTGTTAGGTTTGATTAAAGTTGGAAATGTTCTTCCACTCAAAATACATCATTCATTATAAAAAACGCTCTTTACTTAGTTTACATGTATCAGTTGCTTTCGAGGAACAACGATTTGGAAAAAAAATACTAAAGCGGAATTAAAAATGCTGAAACTTGCCAATTCTCAGGGCTCGTCTGTATAGCTGAGCTTGATTGATTGCAAAGTCTCAATAGAAAAAAAAAATCAATACTTGCTTCCGTCAATAAGCGTCCACTCACGATCAACAGTGGCTTGCACTGAGTCACTGGTAAATGAATTACATTTTGAATAGCCTTCTCAAAAATCACTTCCTTTACTTCCAAAACACAATTTATACATGTAAGTGAAAGGCTCTCAAAACACATAGAAAACTGACGTTTATTTTTGCTGTTTTACTTTTCTTACGATATGACGTTGGTGAAATGCCTGAAAGAAGCGGAAATGAACATTCGAGTCAAGCACCCTTAAGTGGTTAGTCCCTGATGCAAAAGGTTTTTTTTAGACATCTCTTTCAGTTTGGACGTCAGAATATAAATTATCCGTCCATTGTATCATAGGAAAGTGAGTTATCGCTGACGCATACAACTTTCCGGTTACATGAATATGAGACGCTTAAAAACATATCAGGAAAATCCATTCTAAAAAGATAATTCTCTAACTCCAGAACTTGCTTTACCACAATGCACTGCGGGTAAAATCAAGACTAATGTAACCATGGTAATGTCAATCTTACCTTTTCCTTGCCTACAGCTAGACCAATAAAGCTAATACACTCAATGGTTTTGCCGCGAAGTAGTCGATAGTCTTGGGTATTTGCATTTTGTACAATATACTTGAGACTTGGCATAAAACGGTCATAATATGGAGCAAACTTCTCCTCAACAGTGTTGGCAACAGTTGCTATGGTTGTCACAACTTGTTCCATAACTAGCTTGGTTCCTCGCTCTAAAAGCTGAACAAATCAAGTACCTGTCAGTGTCGTACCAATAGTGATAACGTGGAACCAAAATAATAAGACTATAATAGAGCCGTTTCATTTGCCAAAATTCACGTTATTAATATCTTTATTTACTATGATCATAATTCAGCAAACTATAGCTTACAGATCACAATAAAATACTAAGACATACCTCTCGAAGTTTAGACGAAAGCACAAGTTCAAGCTTGGTGAGTATACCGTCCAAATATGGCAACAAGATCTGTTTAGGGCACTCTTCACAGAAGTTGACCAAAGCAGCCCCTGCATGGGCCTGGACACGAGGATTACTGAAATCATCCATCACGTGTAACAGACCTGGTATGACCTGTAAGGAGATGTTAAACCGGTTTTTAAAAACAAATTTTTATTAGCAGTATAGCATAAATCATAACCATCTTTAATCTATAAAAAAAACTTTTACCAGCAAAACATTTAAGAAAGAAATTAACATTTCTCTTCCTCTCTTTCAATCTTTCTTTTTCTTATTCCCATCATTTCTTTTCTTGCATATTTTCATTCTGTCTTTTTCTTTTTCCTTTTGTTTTTGTTCTTCCCTTCTCATGTTAAATTTTTGCTGTTCCATTTTTCCATCTTTTAGTCTGTTTACTTCTTCCATTTATTGGCAATATTTTTTCATTATAGCATAACAAAATAATGGTATGAATTCCATACCTTCATGTGGAATTTCTTCTGGAATCCATTTGCAAAGTCAGTCGACATTTGTCCAATGGCATTACAACAAGCATATCTAACCCTAGGGTGTTGATCATTTAAAAATGGTAGGACTACATTTGTGACGTCTGCTAACAGGATTTCCATTTGTTTTTGACAGCCTTCACCTACTGCTGATATAGCCATTAAACCAGCATGACGGTATCTCCAGTCAGCTAAAAATTAACAATACATATACCAATGATATCATTAGAAGCTGGCAATGGATGAAATACATCAACTACTTTTGACCTTTGGACTGCCTCCTTTTGCCAAATTACGGTTGTAACGCTTGTGGCCTACCACTAGAGCGGATTTCGTATGAGTGGGAAACGGACGGTACTGTACTGTGACCGTAATAATACTGTAACCAAATTCTAGTGCCCCATTGGTTCACCAAAATTTTGCAGGCTAGGTCCGGTAACTGTGCGGTAACGGTGTCCCACTCATACGAAATCCGCTCTATGATTCACATACAGTTACTTTTTAAGAACAGCCACCTACTTCCAAACTTAATGAGACCTCTGAGAAACCTATCTACGCTAAACATCAAGCAATGAACTGCTCCTACATTAGATTTCTGTCACAAAGACAGCACAATGTTGAGAATTTGAAAAAATGACACAAAAGATAAAAGACACTTACGATTACTAAGCATTTGTGGGATTGTCGCTGTTATATGAGGTAGAATAGTTTTGCCGCCCAAACTACAAGCCAATCTGTCCAGAGAACTTTCCCCAATGACTGGATTGCTGAAAGAGAGAAATATGAAATCCTATGGAGATAATTTGTCTTCAAGGGTTGAGAAGGATGAGTAAGAGGCTACCCACACATACTCTCTATGATCATAAAGAGTTTGAGTGCCTTTCGCCCAGACTAACAGAAACAGAGACTTCTAATTACTAATTCTAATTACTACTAATTTACTGCTGTTTGTATATTTGATGTAATTCTTTTTAGCCAAATTTAATAAAGTATTATTATTATTTTAATTACCTTTCATAGTCCTCATCCTCTATTTCATCACTTTTGCTCCAGTCAGGACTATCGTCAAGATCTACCATCATAGCCAACAATTGGGGAACTGAAATAGAAAGGGCATTTACAACCATCATTGTCTTTGCTAATAAAGAGAGCTAGACTATTCTGCAAAATAATCTATTAACTACTCTAATCAAATAGCAATAAATACGGACATCAAACAAGCTGAAAAAGCTCAGATTTGACAGGTTAAACAATACATCTGTTCACACAAAGATTTGACCAGTTTTATGACCAGACATTGTAAGATGCCTGGCTCTTATTAACCTGTAACAACATGAATGGTAACAATAACACCATGTCTATCAACATCATTAACTACGTTTACTACAAACTTACTTATAAGAGGTATAAACTTTTGGACTTTTCTAACCATGGCTGGAGCTATAAACAAAGAAAAATTACACAATAATATAACAGGTTAAGTGCACAACAATTCAATCACAAATTTACAAAATGTTAGTTATTACTTTTTTTCAGCAATCAGTTTTAAAGTATTACAACAAACATACCACTTTCAGCCAATGTAACAATGCATTCCACTGATAAGTGTTTCCAGTTTTCACCCATGTTGGCATTACTAATAATCTACAAAAAAAACATAGCAACTTAGCCACATTCAAAGTTCACAATCAAAAATTTCATTATATTTTTTCATTGGCTTATAAAGTTAATGGTTTTCATCGCCTATTGGGGGAACTTTCATAATATTTAAATCAGAAAACAAACATAGATCCATTGGATAATTCAATAAAAAAAGTCAGCAAACATACTAAACTTATTCAAAATTCATAGCCCACCTCAATAAGTAGGTGAATCAATGGCTCTAAACTAGGCCGTAGCATCTTGGGACAGTTCTCAGCCAAGTCTATAAGACCAGACTTTAGGACAGTGTCATCGCCATCTGACTGTGCACTTTCTCGTACAACCTGTCAATCAAAATATAGGAAAAAGAACAGTGAATCAATGTTGGCACAACATTCCTTTAAACTAGCTTTAACTCACTTGTATAATGCCAGGAACAAGCTCGGCAAACTGTCGTTGTTTGACTTCAGCAACTTGATCAGTGATGAAGGCACACAAAGCTCTTGCAGCCATGAACCGAACCTGAATGAACACAGTCTTATTTAACTAGTGCTTGATATTACGTCATATATTTCATCATGTGCTACAGCTAATTCATGGGACAGTTGTATAAAGGGTGAATGAGGTTACCAATTACATAGATTTAATATGGATTTTATCCACTGGATTTACGAATTTATCAAGTACACAGCACTATTCATCCTTTGTACAACATTTGTCTCACAGGTTTATTTTGTTTATCTAAGCAATGTTCGACTCTTGTTCTTCTATTAATGTTTAAAATATCTAACACAAACCTCACTGCTTGTCTGATCATTTAGACACTGATAAAGCATCTGTTTTATAACATTCAAATAATGATCCTGCTGGTTGCCAAATACACCAGGAAATGAGCAAAAGATATGTAGAGCTGACTCCTTGAGTTCTGCTTTTTGTGAGTTACAACATTCAAAGAGGAATTTCAACAGGTCCTGCCAGTGATTGTACCCTTCCTCATCTAAAAAATAGCAGAAAAACATGTCATACTAGGAGTTTTAGATAAACAAATGGCAATTTTTTAGAAAATTGTTGGATTGGATGACTGACTGATGGAATGCATAAATGAATGGACATATCAGCGGATCAATAAATGACATGAATAAACAAATGAAACTGAAATGAATAAATGAAATAAAAAACATTAAGGCTCTTCAAATTCCACAGTACTTATTACATGAAGCAAGACTTTTCTCTACCTAACAAACTCTTGGAGAGTTCAGATGCAGCATCACAAATCTTGCGCCTGACTGATGCATTCTGTTCTTCTTGTATTCCCCTGAGAAGATCAGCTTTGACTGTCACTAAAGCCTCGTCGCCCAGCTTCTTAATAAAATCTACAGTGTTGGCAAAGATTCTTCTAAGCAAAACTGCTGCCATTTGACGTATCTGAAAAGAAAAAAAACATAATGCTCTGACTAAAACAACAAAAAAACAATAACTATTTACAGTATTAGTATATTTTTCTTGAAAGTTCTTGAAAAGAATGAACGTTATTTATATATTATTATTATTATCATTTACATATTATTATTATTTATTATCATAGCTGTTTACCTCTGGAGATTGAGACACTTTGAGAACTTGCAATAGGAAGTGAATTTTCGTGACATCATCAACAGCTTCATATTGTGCCTAAAAGATTGAAATTTACCAAAAATCAGCAATTGAAGATATTCATTTGTTCCATAAAATAGAAGGAAATGGTAGCTACATTCAAAATAAACTTGTAAAAAAAGAAGGCAAAGTACTGAATGTAAAGCCAGTTTCAAACTTCTATCAAATCTTGAATTTCCCAAATTCGATACAATTAAACATTGCTCTTTATGTTATCCCCCTGCTAAACATCTTCTTGCCCCTCAATGAAACTCGAAAAGACATGAAAGTAAACAAAGTAAGCTATAATATAATATTTTTATGCTATAATATTTTTTCTTTGCAAATTACAGTTTAATAAAATCAGCCAATATTATAAAAAGCTTTAAAGATTTAACAAAACCTAAACAAATTTCTGTTCGCTGATTATTTTTTTTCTACAGCTTTTTTAAATCATTAATTGGTTTATAACTATATCAAATATCATAGAAGTCAGGTTTTGACCATGCTTGACATAATTGCAAAAAGAAAATTGCCAAATTTCCTTTAGTTATTGGAAGAGAGGAACCGAGTAGACAAGTTTTTCTTAATTACCTAACACAAGTACCTTTATGGACGAAATTTAACATATGTTGAAGTTTGAATAAGCTTGAAATTAACATTGCATTTTAAATTGATCAACAAACAATTCACTGAATATATTTCGCCAACATTAATACATATGGTTAATATTATCACAATCATTTCTTATTTCCACAAAAAAATAACCATAAAATAACGTTTAATATTTATCCTTGCGGTATATTTTTGTTATTCTTTTCGAAGAAGGAACTTGCTAAGCAAACACGTGTCTGACTTCGAAGAAGTGCACAAAAGCAATTCATTTGTTCTGTCGCACGTAAAACACCCTCAAATTACCATTTAAAACATTTGAGGACATTTTGCAGTAGTTCAACTTTTAAACAAAACAAAGTAAGGCACAGACATTCGAACAAAGACATCATTAGCAGAACATCTAACGAATAAATCGAAATAGAAAACTTCAAATGAACTCGCTGGCCGGCAAATTTTCACGCGAAAAATCCTACTTGTTTTTAAGGTTTTAGCTAAAATTCGACCTGAAATAAAACGTACAAAGTTGAAATTACCTCAGCTTGACTTCGTATTTCATTTGAAATTGACAGAAGCTGAGAAATCAGAGACTCAAATTGTTGGACTTGTTCCGCCATCATGAAGCTTCCTACCATATTGCCCAACCTGGTCACCTCCACGCATGCGTACAGTCTCTTTGAATTTTCAGTTGGCGGGAAAATAATTTTCCCTTTTGACGAATTTTTATCTAGAACAGTGTAATATATAGTCCTAGCTATGTATAGGCCAAAATTGCTACATGTTAAAAATTATTTTTGGTAAAACTTCTTTTAGTATAATTTGACTGAGGAAAATTGAATACAGTTTCTGCACGTCCGGGCCGTGGGACGGGGTTATAAGGATTCTTGTAGTTTTTTGTTCGTATTTTTCACAAATGATGTGTTATCTAAGTAAATTTAGACATATCCAACTTATCTTGCATTTCTGTCTAACTCTTTAAGGGAAACTAGAAAGCTTTGCATTTCCTTTCAGTTTTAGGTATTTATAATTTCCCGCCAAATCTTAAACACGTCAACAGGAAGTGAAAATACAAAGCCTATGAAAAGCATTCAGTCATTGTTTTAAATTGATTATTAATATTTAGTTAATACAAAGGATGTTTATTGTTTTACAGGTTGTTCGACCTTACATTTGTGTAATAAAGTTTGTTCAGCTCAGTAACAAAAAATCCTATTTTCCGGGCTCCCTGTGGCAAAACGACACTGTCAGCGGTAGCTACCAATCCAAAAACAAATTTCAAAATGGCAGCTGAGTCTGCAGCTCAGGTAGGAAGGTCATTTTATCGATATTGAGATAATATTTCTTACTGGTTTCCCACTTTCATTATTGATACATATTTATTGTGCTTGATTAAGGTCTTTCGATATTGAAATGAGAGGGAAATCTTGCATTATTTTGTCTCTCAGTTTACTCATCCAGCTTTTGAAAAAATATGCCTTTTTAAAAGCTTAAGTTTTGATATTGATGAAATAATGTCTAAACGCTGTTAAAATGATTTTGCAGCTTTTCTCGCGGCTTGGTTCCAGACAGCCACTAAATGGTCTTGATAGTGGAATGTTCTGTGGAATTCCCAATGGAATTCAGCCTGGAGATGTTGTAGAATTTCATGGAGCTGAAGGCTGTGGAAAAACAGAAATGCTTCTTCATCTAATTGCCAATTGTGTATTACCACAAACTTGGAATGACATCAATTTAGGAGGCCATGGAGTACAAGTTATATTTATTGATACTGACTTTCATTTTCAAGTATTGAGACTTGTTGCAATATTGGAGTGTCGAATCGAGAATGCCAAGAAAATGTTAACTGTTGTATCTCATGATGCAGATGCTGATGGTGCCAATGATCAAAATGAATGTACAAATGACATTGAGGAATTTATCAAAACATGCCTATCTCGTCTGTATGTGCTACGCTGCAATAATAGTCTAGAGTTACTGACTTCACTGCTCTCACTTGAGCAGATGTTAATGGCAAAGCCAGAGGTGTGTGTCTTAATGATTGACAGCTTGAGTGCATATTATTGGATTGACAGAAGCAAAGGATGGGAGAGCACAAATGATCAAGAAGAAAATATGAAAAAAATAATCATGATAATAAAGAAATATGCTAAGGACTTTCTTCTAGTTGTCATAGTGACAACACATGCCATTTTTAGCTCAAGCCTTAAATCTGTGGAGCCTTATTTTTGTCGGTCATGGTCTAGTGTGGTGAGGTATAAGTATTTATTTAGTCGAAAAGATGAACATGCATTTAACGCCAGCGCTGTAGGCCCACAACCTGTATTCATTGCTCAAAGAACACTTCCAAGAAGTAATCAATTCCAGAAATTTTGTTGCACCGACAAAGGTGTTGAATTCAGAAGTTAATTATATTTGACAAAAAATGTAATCATTTGAAAATGTATTTGAGTGTATTTCTTGTGTTTTTCAACACAAGTGAACACTTGAAAAAAAGAGGCCAAGTTTTTAAAAGGTTGTCCATTGTTAATGTCTAATGGAACACTGAAATAAAATTCTCAAAATCGTAGATAATTAAAGGAGATAACTTTGACAGAACTCCATGAAAGTATATACTTTTCAAGCTTATTTTTCTTTATCCTAATTAACTATTTATAATTGAGAAAACAATAGTATGATTTGATTTCTTGTAATGAAGTTTAGTTTGTTAATTTTATTCAATGCAAATATGAAATGTCTTCTTGAAAAACAAAAAAAAACACCAACAACACAAAATGGTCAACTTCAGATGTCTTGGTCGAGTAACCACATCTACAATTCTTTTGTGCATGGTCACTGGACCAAAATATCTAAAGTCAGCTTTTTATCCTTATGTAAAAACAAGGTAATGTGAGAACCTGGGAAGACAGTCCTATGGAATCAACTCAATAACCAATAAAATATTACACTTCTCTGAATAAATCTCTTTTTATTCAATTCAATATCATGAACACCAAATATTTCACTTTTCCATGTCCATCCCATTGCACAACTTACGCAATTAAAGTCATTATAAACACAAATACTTATCAAATATAAGTTATTTATTTACTGTACTTTTTGGAATCAGGAGTTTCAAAGAAACATGCCAGTCCATACAAGGTAAAATAGCAAATTAAATCACGACAGCATAGAATTAAACCTGGGTTTTCTAGAATAACTATCATAATATATCATATATTTTTTCGACAATGAAATATGCTATGGAGTAGGTTTGGGTTTAAACCTATATTTAAAAAGTTGTCAATTCAGATTAGAAATCTCAAAAATGTTATAGATGTTATAACTATAAATAAAGATTGCCTACACACAAATCTGTGCTTATGATCTCAAGATTGTATCAATGGTTTGTGCTACCATGTTTTCAAGTCTTTTTGTGGTCTAAAAGTAATATGCCAAGGCAATGGCAGATGCCACAGCAGAAACAGCAACAACAGATCCTGTTTTGATAAGTGTAGACCATTCAAATCCTTTGCCCATGTCCCAGCACTAAAACAAACAAGCAAAGCAAAACTTATAGAAAATTCCATGTGATATAATCGGCAACTAATCTATAGAAGGATTCTAAATGAATGATTGCCTAAATAAACAAAAAGATTTCAAGTCATATTTTACAAGCATAATTTACAAACAATGTGATACATAAACTACTTGAGTTAGAGGTAATGGCAGCCTGCAAGTCAAAGCCATTACCACTTAAACCAGTAGCTTTCAATCTGATACCAGTCTAGAATTACCAAAGTCTGTGTGGAGTCACTTACCAAGTGCCTGATACCATTGATACCATGATAAGTCACTGGAAAAGCTAATAAGGCTTTGCATGTGAAGATGAAAGGTCTTGGTAACTCAAAGGACTTGACAATGTTCACATAATGCTCTAGGTTTTCAGGCAGACCCAGTGCACATAAAGCAAATGTTGTTGTAGCTGTTAAATAGAAAACAATCATATGTATGATATTGATATAACGATTGTGATGATAAAATGATGATGATAATTATCAAAACATAAATCTACATTCACCTACCAATGGTCATCAGAAATCCAGTCAGTCTGTGAGAACCAGACAGCATCGCATGAAACTCCCACCTACGTAATAAAGAAAGACATTCAACGTCTGACAATACAAATAATGACAACCAGGTTACAGAAACAAACTTAGTACAATTCCTTATCTTTTTCTTACTTGTATATTAACAAATGGGGCGACATTGGACGCTTTAGAGCTTTATTTTTAGCAACAAATTCTTCTGATTTTTGATTAGAAGATGTTGCAGCAGGAAGACTGGAATAAACGAAGTTGAACATCAGTATTAAAGCACGGAGGACTTTACAAAATTGTGTGCATGCAGGGATTCACGATTTGTACCTTTTGATAAGAACACACGATGATCGGATTAATCCGGACCGTAGGAACGGAGAAACCCTTGCACAGTTCCTGAAAATACAACATTTTAAATATTTTTATAGATACTGTGTTCTTTTCGAGTAGATTTTTTGATTTTTAGAGGAGCTTACCTCAACATAACAAGACTCGCCATTTTGGAAATGCGAATGCTATGCATCACGGGACATTTCAAATTTCTGGGCACAGGAAGCCCAATTTTTCAAGTACAATTTATACTGATTCTATATAAATTTACAAGTCATGTCTAAGTTCCCTTTTTTTAAAAGAAAAATCAATTTTTGTGCTCAAGCTTCATGTACTGAAAATCCTACAATGAAGATATGACGTCATTCAAAATATGACGCAGCTTCGGATGTATTTTCCATTATGACGTCATAGTGGCTCCAAGTGCACAGTTTGCACTATGTAATGACTTTTGAAATTGTCATCTTTACCCTCTGGGTGATTTGTTTAATCTCCTACTGCATTCTGTCATGGACCAGCATCGTGGAGATCAAACTTTCGTCCTCTGCAGATTCCTTGTACAGCACTCAGCCTTCATTTGACCTGCGCAAGATCCCAAGCTCTGAAGGAGATGACGTTGCAACGTACCTTTGCCGTCAGGGCTACGAGTTGGGATCCAAGCTTGGTGAAGGAGCTTATGCCATTGTGAGGGAAGCTTACTCAAACAAACATGGAAGGTATGTGACTTCATGTCGAGCTCTTAGTCCGTGCAGTATTAAATGATGAGCCTATACAAAGCGCACTTTCTGTGCGTTATTTGGCTCTTCCATAAATGCCGCCTCTCTAAACAACTCAACAACGATTGTAAATAGTTAAGATAGATAAGTAATAGATTGCACTTTAACCCTTTGGAAGCTTATTGGGTAGGACCGTACAGTAAGGCACAAAACTTATAGATAGTTATTCATCAGTATTTCTATTTCTATTATTATTCTTGTTTTGTGAAGAAATGTAGCTGTCAAGATAATCGACAAGCAAAAGCTGTCTGATAGAACCCTTCACAAGTTCTTAAAGCGTGAGGTGGAGGCTTTGAGGCAGGTTGATCACAAGAATGTCATTTGTCTGCTTGAAGTCATCGAATCAGATCGTCGATTTTACATCATCATGGAGCTTGCACATAATGGCGACTTGCTCAAGCTACTACAAGAACGAGGACGACTTCCTGAGGCAGAAGCAAAAAGGGTGTTTAAAAAAGTTGCCAAAGGAATCCTTCATTGTCATAAAAAAGGTATAAAGCATGCAGGGATAGCAATGTACACTATATCCGGTTGGAGAAAACGTGTTATCAAATCTAAAAAAAGAAAATTGATTTTTTTTAATTTTTGACATTAGATTTTTTTTCTATATCATTTTTTAGGGATTGCACATCGAGATTTAAAACTTGAAAACATCCTTTTGTCGCGTAAAAATGAGCCAATCATATCGGACTTTGGATTTGCCCGCAACATTGGTGGCGCCGAGAGTAGCACTGAATCAGGCACGTGCGACAGTCGTGCGAGAAGCTGTACTTTCTGTGGTTCTTACGCTTATGCTGCACCGGAAATACTGCAAGGTACGCATTTCACTACTACAATGACTTCTTTTACGGTAAAACTCAAAAAGAAAGAAAAGAAAATCCCCAAAACACACTCTAAAACGATCGTTAAAACTACTCCCGAGAAATTTAACCATTTTAAATTACCGCAGGGATCCCATACGACGCAACGTGCAGTGATGTCTGGAGTCTTGGTGTTTTATTGTTTGCCATGGTAACGGGCCAGTTTCCTTTTGACGACACCGACAAGAAACATCTTCTACGCGAGACGACGTCAGGAAACATCAACTTTGGCTCGCGAAGTTCCAATTTGTCCGAGCAAGTGAAAGACATGATAAGGAAAATGCTTAGTCCTGATGCAAAAACAAGGATGACACTCGAAGACGCCATGGAGCATCCTTGGATGAAGAGGAAAGGTGCACGTTTACAAGTGCCTGCCTCGTGGAGAAAGCGGTCTCTATCGTCCAGTATGCTTTCCAATGAATCCAGTGATTATGAACGTTTTTTCTAAAATATGGAGTGCGATTGTACGGTTTATGAGTACGCATCTTGACATGAACAAAAGCTGTACTAGCGCGGAACTTATTTGTTTTCGGAGTTATTCTGTACGATTATTGTTGATGCCAAAATGTAAAATAATACCGCAAATTTTGAAACAGTAAACCTACGCTCTATATTTTAACAATGAATTCTGATTTTCATCAAGATGTCACATACTCATCTTCTTATCTGCAAGAAATTTATTCGGAAGACTGAACTTTGGCATGTAGAACAATAACCCCTTCCTTGCTTTATTCGTCATTTTTCAGTGGCACAGGAGTGGGTCCAGCATTTTATAAGGCGGGGGACATTTTTCAGTAATATATAGAACTAATCATTATTGTCTAGGGCAAGAAAACTATGCACAATTTGACCGAAAGCAATTGACTTTTATTGCAATGTAACTTTGACTACACTACTCAAATAGATTGTTAGGTAGCACAGTGGCAGACACATGTTGTGTATGCTAATCGTTTTCTCGATTAAAGTACAACAGGAGTATAAACAGCAGAAAACAACGTTTATACTGATATATTAAAAAATACGTCGTCAAAAAATGGGCGGTGCGTCCGCACCCAAAGCACCTCCTCTGGATCCGCCTTTGTGGCAGTGTGTCCCTTCTTTTTCCCCTCCGCCCAGTTTAAATTCCCCTTAATTTTTAAAATTAGTTTTCTTCGTTCCAGCTTCTGGATTTCTTCGTTTCTTCAAGTTCTTTTCCCTCAGAATTTTTTTATTGCCATGCTTTATTTACAATATATTTTCGTCGAAACAGTATGGTAGTTTGTTGATAATTTTAATTTGTATGAAGTTATTCAAGAGTCATTCAACATTCATTTGCCAATCATCATTCCTGCAAACCTCATGTACTTGACCTTTTTTGAATGGAGTAGCGTTGCGTGACGACACAGGGGAAGCAGCTAAAGGAGGCTAGCAGTTTTCAGGGCTATTTTTGTAGAAACTGCACGGCTTCTACTTTTGCATAGAAAAAGCAAAAGCTTTTTAGCGGATATGACATTCTGATGAAAGACTAGATCTCCCATAATGCTTTGCTGTTGTCGTAGCCAGGCCAGGCTACATGGACTTCGAAAGTGTGCAAAGTTACGTGTATACCATCGAACAAACATGGAAATCTTTCAAATTGCAGTCGTCGTTGTGGCAGCTGGTGTACTTCTATACTTTGTTAGACAGTACTTTAATGGTGGTGTCTTTAATAGTAGCAAACGACTTGATGGTAAAACAGTTATCATTACTGGAGCCAATACAGGAATCGGCAAGGAGACAGCCGTGGATTTGGCCCAACGGGGAGCTCGCGTGATCATCGCATGCAGAGATGTACATCGTGCAAATCTTGCTTTAAAGGATATCCAAGATCGCTCTGGCAGTAAACAAGTATATTTCGAGCAGCTTGACCTTGCCTCTTTCAAGTCTATCCGTGATTTTGTGGAANAAAATTAAAATTGAAGCTTTTCTGCGAAGTCTTTGGGATTTATTGATAATATCGCTTACCTTGTGTGCCTCCATGACATTTCTGTGGTTCTTATGCTTATGCTAAGCACCGGAATTTAACAAATTTTACATCACCGCAGGGATCCCAACGCAACGTGCAGTGATGTCTGGAGTCTTGGTGTTTTATTGTTTGCCATAGTAACGGGCCAGTTTCCTTTTGACGACACCGACAAGAAACATCTTCTACGCGAGACGACGTCAGGAAACATCAACTTGGCTCGTGAAGTTCCAATTTGTCCGAGAAAGCGAAAGACTTGATAAGGAAAATGCTCGAAGACGTCATGGAGCATCCTTGGATGAAGAGGAAAGGTGCACGTTTACAAGTGCCTGCCTCATGGAGAAAGCGCGCTCTTTCGGCTAGTATGCTTTCCAATGAATCCAGTGATTATGAACGTTTTTTCTAAAATATGGAGTACGGTTGTACGGTTTACAGTATGCATCTTGACATGAACAAAAGCTGCACTATAGCGCGGAACTTGTTTGTTTTCGGAGTAATTCTGTACGATTATTGTTGATGCCAAATGTAAAATAATACCGCAATGTTTGAAAAAGTAAACCAACGCTCTATATTTTAAGACCGAATTCTGATTTTCATCAAGACGGTCACATACTCATCTTCTTATCTGCAAGAAATTTATTCGGAAGACTGAACTTTGGCATGTAGAACAATAACCCCTTCCTTACTTTATTCGTCTTTTTTCTAGTGGCTGTGTGTCCTTTCTTATTCCCCTCCGCCCAGTTTTTTTCCACTTTTTAAAATTAGTTTTCTTCATTTTAGCTTCTGGCTTTCTTCCTTCAAGTTCTTTTCACTCCGAATTTTTCACGGCTTGCCATGTTTTTATTAGCATACATTTTCTTCGAAGCAGTATGGTGGTTTGTTGATAATTTTAATTCGTATTAAGTTATTCAAGAGTCATTCAACATTTTGCCAATCATCATTCCTGCAAACTTCATGCACTTGACATGGAGTAGCCTTGCGTGACGACAAAGGGGAGGCTGCTAAAGGCCGGAGGCTAGCAGTTTTCAGGGTTATTTTTGTAGAAACGGCACGGCTTCTACTTTTGCATAGAAAAAACAAAGACTTTTTTAGCGGATATGACAAATCTGATGAAAGACTAGATCTCCCATAATGCTTTGCTGTTGTCAGTAAACATTAAGATCATGTGAGCTCTACTCTCATGTCCCTCCACGGGTAGCCCAAGCTCTTTACTTGATATAAGAGATGTATGTGAGTCCAAGTCTATGTAAACAGTCGATTTATGGCATAAATATACTTTAATTTTCGTTATAACTCGTTGTGTGGCTTATTATACCTACCGATAATCTCTGGAGCGATTTTAAGAACTTTTATGAATTTTGTTTCCCTTGACAGGGTAGGAATCGAAGCCCCCCATATCGACTTCGAACAGCTCCAAATTTGGTCCATTTTTTCGTCGAAATTCGAATCCTAACGCAATATGGCTTTGACAGCTGTCAACTAATAACTTAACGCTGCACCAGAAATGCTGCTTTCATCGAGCCAGTTGGTATATTCCTGAGCTATGAGCTCTCCTGGGGCACTTAAAATCCGTACCAAAACCGTCATTTTTTTGTTTGCATCCGTCTTTTCGCGTTCAGAAGAAGGGGCCGGTGCCTGGACGCTAATACAAAACATCCGCCGTGCCAGGAGGTCACGTCAACGAAATTACTTCAGTCTTTGTTTTTGTTGAACAATTACAGGTCGAGAAGGTCACATGGCCTTTAACCTAGCCTGCGTAGCCAGGCCAGGCTACATGGGCCGTGTGCATGTAGCCTGCGTTATAACATCCGGAATATTCCGGTATTTGTGAAATTTCCGGGATGTAACGCAGGATATGTGCATGGAACCGTCGATAAAACATGGAAATCTTTCAAATTGCAGTCGTCGTTGTGGCAACTGGTGTACTTCTATACTTTGTTAGACAGTACTTTAATGGTGGTGTCTTTAATAGTAGCAAACGACTCGATGGTAAAACAGTTATCATTACTGGAGCCAATACAGGAATCGGCAAGGAGACAGCCGTGGATTTGGCCCAACGGGGAGCTCGCGTGATCATCGCATGCAGAGATGTACATCGTGCAAATCTTGCTTTAAAGGATATCCAAGATCGCTCTGGCAGTAAACAAGTATATTTCGAGCAGCT